TTTCTCGATTCTGTTGCGAACGATGGTGTTTCAAAGTTCAATTAGAGGATAAATAATCAAATTCGTGCGTAAGAGAGTTGAGAATTGAGACCTAGAATTTCTTTCCAAAAACAGATAGTTGAGTTTAAGCTCTTTGTGTTTATTTATTTATTTATTTTAACAGAATAAAGAATGGAAAAGTTGTTTTCCAAATAAACAAAAACAAACAGAGGTAACATTGAGTGGAGCAAAAGCTGATTCAAATTTCAATTATATTAATATAAAATAAAATAATATGTATATATATATATATATAGTATTATTATATACATATATTTCTTAAAGTTCAAATATGCCCCCCGTCAAAAAAAAAATTATTAATAATATTCTAAGGGACGATTCTGTCATGTACCTAGCAAAACATTCTCCCACAATACCATTTATTTTAAAGATAATCCTATAAAATAAATCAGCTTTTGCTCCACTCAATACGATTCTGTCATTTACCTAGCAAAACATTCTCCCACAATACCATTTATTTTATAGACAATACCATTTAAAATGATAAATGGTATTGTGCCCATTTTCCCTTGTTACCTAGCAAAACATTCTCCCACAAAAACAGAGGTAACAGTGCATGAGCTTGAATCTGAAACAATTTCAACCCTATATCAAAAGCAGTCCATTTATGCAATTGGGCCCATTTTTCCTGATGGGTTCACCAAGAGCACTGTGGCTACGAACTTGTGGTCCGAGTCAGACTGCACCAAATGGCTAGACACCAAGCCTCATGGTTCAGTTTTGTATGTCTCATTTGGTAGCAATGCTCATACTAGTAAGCATGACATCGTGGAGATAGCCTATGGGCTTTTGCTTAGTGGAGTGAGTTTTGTTTGGGTGCTACCCCCGACACGGTGAGTTCGTATGATACCGACTTCTTACCCGTTGGATTTAAAGATCAGATTAAAGACGGAGAATTGACCATGACGTGGTGTTGTCAGATCGATGTAATCTCACATCCTGCAATCGGAGGGTTCTTGACTCGATAGAATTCGATATTGAAGAGTATATGGTGCACCCTTCCGTTGATTTGCTTTCCTCTATTGACCGATCAATTTATTAATTGAAAATTAGTGGTTGATGATTGGAAGATTGGGATAAATTTATGTGATAGAAAAGCTGTCACGAGATACGAAGTATCAATCAAGATCGACCGTCCGATGGATGAAAAAACATCTGAGGATTTGAGAAATGAGATCCGAAAGTTGAGAGACACACTAGGGAATGCACTAGCTGCCTATGGATCATCCGAAAACAATCTGACCCAATTGATCGAGGATGTGAAGGCTAAGATTGAAAAGAGACAAGGGCATGCCACGTGGCAACGTGACAATCCATTGGCCAATCATGTTTAGCTTTGTAGTACAGTATTATTCAAATTCTTTTGTCTTTATTCAATCATGTGAAATTTTATGGGCTTGTACTTGGTGAAAGTCATTTTAACATGATAATTACTTGTTTCTTAGTGTTTTTCCCATAATACCTAGTGTGCAACTGTTCTCCAATAAATATACTCCACAAATTTCTAAACCTTCTAGAATATCTCATTGGTACTGTATTTTCGGATCGATGTGATAGTGAATTCACCTGATGAATGACAGTTGGTAGATTTCGAAAATACTCTGAGTATTGTAGAATTTACTCATTTTTTTAGTGACAAGATTCACACTTTACATATTGGTTCGAATTTATCAGGAATCACTCTTACATATTTTTTCGATGATTGTTTAATATGTGTGAGACAAATAGGAACTACTAGGGTGGTGGACTAAAAAAAAAAAAAAAAAAGATTGTGTCAAATAATCAATCAAACAGCGGACTCATTTAGTGGTGTAACTGCCCAATAACGAAATGGGGTTTCAAAATGAATAAAGTAATTCAAAATTGGTTGGACCATTATTGTCAGTCGATCCAATTAACACGCTTTTCTTGTCCATCAATGAGTCACGTTTAGCAAATCACATTCACAGTGGGCTGTTCATTTGGATCTAAACGGCCCATGGGTTGTTAAAGTGCAAACCAGTTAATGGTGGCTCAAACCCTATACAACATATGGGCTAGTCTGAGTTTTATTTTGCTAACTAAAATCATTTGGGTCACTGAATTCATGTTCTAAAGCCTTCCAGTTTTAAATATTTGGGTCGCTCCAAGTTTTTGCCAGCATGCTTTCTATATATTATATAATATATACAGTACTGTGTATATCATACCCTTTAATATTCATGTGTATACATAAAAGGAGTTATCAGAAGAAGAAGAAAAAAAAAAAGGCTTTAATTTAAGCAAAATACAAGTTCAGCTTATTTTGTAACAAATAGGAATAGCCCTCAAGATAACCAGAATTCTATCGTTCCCTAACTTAAAGAAGGGTTAAAGGATATATATGTGTGTGTGCGCACGTGCGCATTTTTTCTTTACTTCGAATAAGATAAGAAACTAAGTGCAAAGCAATAGAGAATATCTATCAAGTGAAGGTAAGCAGGCAAAGCAAAGCAAGAGTGATGGGGTGAATTCTTTAGATTCATTACTAGTAGCATTTTGACATATTTTTATGAATTTTTAGTTTGCGATATTGCGTATTTGTTAATTTTACATATTTTTTTTTGTATCTTTAGCTTGCATTTGACAAGTAAGATTGTTTAATCGTGAGATTTATTTCGATAAAACGCAATATGATGTGTATTTTTGTTATTTAATAAAATTTAAAGGATTGAAACTCTCACTATTTATTTTGTGAGGTTGAAGAGAGATTAAGATCTTTAATATAAAGATATTATTTATATTTGAGACTTAATTTAATTTTAATATCATAGAAAAAAATAAATTAATTCCAAACCGAGTCCTAGCCCCCAAACACAAGTCTGCATCTTTTTAATTCTCGTTATCCCTGTAGGACACATGTTGCATATGAGCTTGCGTGTATACAGGAAGAGTAAATACAGAAAGATCTAGAAATTTTAGAGTTCTGGTAGCTTCCACAATATTGCAATGTACTAAAATCAAAACGAATGCAATTGTGCAAATGTATATACCACCAAAGCACTCTTATCTAATTTTATTTAATAAATGCTATTCTCTCTTTTTCAAAACTATTGAATATCTTGGAATTCTTAACTTTTTTTTTTTTTTCAAAGAAATAAGTGTTTAGGCTCTGTTTGGTATACGCTTTGGTTTAAGCATTTTGTTTTTGTCTAAAATAGAAACAATGTTTTTATTATTTTAGAAAAAAATCGAAAGCACGTTTATAAATGATATTTTAGACGTTTTGTTTTTAGCCCGTGTTGCGCTACTATTACAGTTTTTGCCATGAACAGTTGTCAAAATAAGAAAAAATTATTTTTTTTGTGTTTTGGTTTTGGACCATTGTTCACGAAGTGTTTTAGCACTGTGTAAAATAAAACAAGCACCAAATATGCTTTTGTTGTCAAAATCGACACTGTTGTAGTCCATAAACAAAAACAACAGAAACAAAAAGGTATGCCAAACAGGACTTAATATTTTGTCTCTTTTAACTTCAAAAAAAAAAAAAAAAAAATTTGTCTCCTTTTAAAATTATAAAACTAGGTATTTAAATTTGAGGTATTTTGGAAAGTAAGTGACTTTTGTACAGTGGGGAACAACAATTCTGAGACATCAAAAATTGAAAAAATGGTCAATAGTTTTGGGAAGGAGGTAGTGTTTGAAACAAAATTGAGGACTCACAAAAAACTGATGTTTAGTTATGTTTCGTTTAGATTTTTAAAGTTATCTTACCATATTTTTGGGTTTCTAATAAAAACCTTACATATATATGGACCATGATGCTTTAAATTTAAATGTTATCTATATTATTATCGTAAGTTGAACTTTTAAATTGGTGCGTGGAACTTTCTAAGATCTTAAGTTCTCCATTTATTTTTTATTTTTTGGCTTTAATAGGACAATTACTCAATTGGTTTTTTGGCAAGAAAAAAAAAGAAAAAAACATTAGTTTTTGAAAATTACAATTAGAACTTTGAGAAAATATCCTATTTTCTGATTTTTTTTTTTCATAACTAAATTTAGAAATAAGATTATTATTTTTTTATATTTTATTGACAATAAATATACACACATCACTCGTACACTCACTTTATTATTTGAGAACTCAAACCTCACGAGGTAGAGAAAATATTATTAGATCACAATCCTCTTGGTTAGAAAAAGGACTGTAAATAAAAAAATAAAAAAAAAATGCCTACATCACAAACACAAATATAAATAAATAAATAAAAATCAAATCACTCTTATTTAGAAAGGGAAGACAGAAGAACAAAGCCTCCAAAAGAGATTTAGACAAGTAACCTCCACCAATTAAAAATAATAAATAAATAAAAAACAAAAGAAAGAATCAAATTTTGACACATGATGTTGGCATTATTATATTTATTAGTGGACTTTTCTTTTTATTTGGTTATTTGAGTTTAAAAAAGGAGCGTCCCACCTACCCAGCTACCCCTCGTTGAATCCTTGTAAACTTATTCCTCATAATTTATCCTAAAATAAAAGATAAAATAAATAATTAAATTCTAGAACGAGATTCTTTTGTTTGGAAGGGAACGAAATTATAAATGAAATTGAATTTCACTGGATTTTAATTCAAAATTTAATAAAAAAAATACTCACATCTTAATTAGTTTGAAATTTACTTAAAAAAAATAAAAAAAAATAATTAAATTCTAGAACGAGATTCTTTTGTTTGGAAGGGAACGAAATTATAAATGAAATTGAATTTCACTGGATTTTAATTCAAAATTTAATTAAAAAATACTCACATCTTAATTAGTTTGAAATTTACTTTTTAAAAAGTAAAATTTATGACCTCTATTATTTTACTTTACTCCCAATTTTTATTTATTTATTTTTTAATTTAATGTTTCAAAGAGAGTATAAATAATCTATACTCACCTCCAAATAAAATAAAATAAAATAATCTGTAACCAAAAAGTAACAAGTGAAGCAAACCTTTTCTTTCCAAACAAGAAACGGAGCAAGTTGTCGCTATAAATACTCCATCCCCAATCCTCGGATCCCCATACCATACTCTTTCCTTTTCCTCTGTACAACTTCCTTTCCTCTGCAAAACTCTCCCTATTCTTCTGCATCCGATCGTTCTTCGTCTAGAAGAAGCATGAGTAACCAAGCTGAATCGTCCGATGCGTAAGCCCCCTTCTCAGATCTTCATAAACATATTTATTTGTTTGTTTGTTGATTGATATTGATGTACACTTGTATTTTTTTATTCTGGGTTTTGATTTTGTTGTGTGGGTTCTGTTCTGATGGTGGGTTTTGTGGGTGATTGTGCAGTAAGGGGACCAAGAGGGATTTTAGTACTGCGATTCTCGAACGCAAGAAGGCGGCCAATCGGCTCGTCGTCGATGAAGCAGTCAACGATGATAATTCCGTCGTTGCTCTGCATCCCGATACAATGGAGAAGCTTCAGCTATTCCGCGGTGACACGATCTTAATCAAGGTTTGAATTTTGTGACCGATTACCTTTTGTATCGAATGGTTTTATGTGGGTTTGATTGCGTTCTGTTTTAGATTGATTTTGATTGGAAATTGTGGGATTGTGTTTTGTTTATTGAAATTAGGGTTTCTGCTAGAGTTAATGCTTGATTGTTTGGGGTTATTTGGTAGTTTAAGATCTATGAATTGGTTGTGTGAATGATTCTAAAAAAAGTAAGGTTTTTGAGGCACTGCTTATTATATGTTTTTTTTTGTGAATGGAGGTACGAAACTTGAATGAACTTGTAGGAGTAGTTTGGTTCAAAAATAATTGAGGAGAATGGTTTGATTTGCCAATGCGAAGTAATTGAGCTTTGAGGCTCTGCTGGGTTGATAGGTCTAACTTAGTTGGGCCTTAAAACTGTGCTTAGTTGAGTTGATTTTCCTTTATTTTAGTGTGTGTGTCCTGTGTGTATGCTCGCATTAGCCCCCCTTCCCCCTTCTTTTCTGTGAGTGAAGAAATTGGCAGCTACTATGGCCCTTACTTCCGCTGGTTGATATCCAGGTTGAATTGAACAATTGGAAAGATGCCAATAAATCAATAAAAAGTTGGGTTTTTGAGGCACTACTTCGTAGTTCTGTTTTGTGAATGGAGGTATAAAACTTGAATGAACCTGAAGGAGTTATTTGGATCAAAATTAATTGAGGAGAATGGTTTGCTTTGCCAATGCAAAGTAATTGAGCTTTGAGGCTCTGCTGAGTTGATAGGTCTAACCGGGGGCAGAGCCAGGAATTTGGTTTAGGGGAGGCATGTTAACACTGACAAAATAATTTTTGGTCAAGCATGCCGAAAATATAATAGTGTAACAACAGTGCATTAGAATAAGTGAATAAAAAATGAATAAGATAAAAAAGAAAAAGAAGGGTTATTGCACATAAATTATGCACGAGTGCAACAAAAAATAAATTTTTAAGAAGAAAAATGAATTTTTTAAGAAGAAAATGAAATAAAAAGAAAAAAATATGAGAGAATTTTGAAGGAAAAAATAGATTTTAATTGTAGAAAGAGAATGCAAAAGTTTTTGAAGATGACAAAAAGAAATTTGAAGAATAAGAAGGAAAAGGAATAAAGAATTAAAGACGTTTTTAGAAATAGATAATTTTATGGGGATAACTTAAAAATTTTATGAGGGTGTTTTATAAATATTTAAAAATTATACGCATAAAATAAAATAAAATTTAGTAGATTTAGGGGCAAAGGGACCATTTTAATAATTCAGGGGGGGCATTTAATCAATTTTTACAAATATATGTATAAAAAAAAAAAAAAAAAAATTATAGTGGGGCAGCATGGGCAGGGGGGGCAGCTGCCCCCCCTGGGCACATGCTGCCTCCGCCACTGGGTCTAACTAAGTTGGGCCTCAAAACCATGCTTAGTTGAGTTGATTTTGCTTTCTTTTAGTGTGCAGCCCTTTGCAGTGAGTGAAAAACTTTGCAGCTACAATGGCCCTTACTTCCACTGGTTGATATCCAGGTTGAACAATTAGAAAGATGCAAAGATATCAGTAAATCTTTGTATGTGAACAGATATGTGTTTTTAGATATGGATAAGTGACTTTTGTTAGTTGGTAAGCAACGGCAACAACTGCAGATTCTCTTGCTTGTGTGTGAGCGTTTGTCCTCTTGTTTTGGTTCTAGTGAACTGAAGGTTTAACAGAACTCATGCTCCCCTATTTGGGTTCTAATGGCACACCCTATGTTCATGCTCCTCTATTTGGGTTCGAATGGCACACCATGTGCATGATTGTTAATTTTTTTTGGAAGATACACGGACTATATTCTCAATTTTAGTTATGATTTTTTTGTTTTTGTATATAATTTTTCCCTCTTGGTGTTCAGGGCAAGAAAAGGAAAGATACAATCTGCATTGCCCTTGCTGATGAAACCTGTGATGAACCAAAGATTAGGATGAACAAAGTTGTTAGATCAAACCTGAGGGTCAGGCTTGGGGATGTAGTTTCTGTGCATCAGTGTGCCGATGTCAAATATGGGAAGCGTGTCCACATTCTCCCTGTGGATGATACCATTGAAGGGGTCACTGGGAATCTGTTTGATGCGTACTTGAAACGTGAGTTCCTCAAGTTTTGTAACCTGTCTCTCTCTTCATGATATTATTTACTGTTATATTTATTGCATAATCAGGCTTTTAATGTCTCTAATTTGACCATATGGAGGTATCAATGATCTTTTCTAAATTTGGAAGGAAACCTTTTATACATCTCTAATTGGACCATTTGGAGACCTATTTATTTTATTACATTTAAAGAGAAAACCATTGGCTTCACCAAACACGCTCTTCTCACCTCTAAACTACAGATCTCCACTAGTACCCTTATCTTTTCATGTCACCTCCAAACTACAAATACTCAATAGCACCCTTATTTTTTATTTTTGGCAATATGAATGCTGTAAAACATGATTGCTTACTCCTGTCTAAACAATATTTTGTGGAGTCACCTCTTTGCCACAGTGCTTGGTACATGTGGTGTGTGTCCCTTGTCACTTCCCCAGTTCAATTTACTAAATTTTATGGGCCCATGGAAACCACCAAACCACCTGATTGTATTTTGCACGTGTTATGCTTTATGGCACTTGTCATTATTGATATCATTATTATTACTTTTTGGGATACTATTGGTCACTTAGTGACAGTTGATAATATGCCTTTGGCATTGCATGGTCTCCTTGTTAGTTTAATATAAGTCCTTATATATGTCTAGTTGGGAATCACTTTGATTCCAAAGATTAGGTCTGGGAAATAATTACAGATTATATGACAATGATTTAAGCTGAGATAAGCCTTGTTAGCATGTTGTGAACTTCAAAATTTAAGGTCAGGGAAGTAATTGCTGAAGACGTGTCAGGTGGTGTGGTCAGGTGGCTTTCATCGTTGTTTATGTTGTCATTCTTTCTCGCTCTCTCGGTGTCTCTTTCCATCTATCTAAATTTGTTTTACTTTTAATATGCCACTATGAGGATTACTGATAAGCATTTGATGTTATCTGTATTGCAAACCTCTGATGTTCTTCTGTCCTGAATCCTGATATAACTCTGCTAACATAGGGATTTTTTGGCTACTTCTAGCACTTGTTGAGGAAATTTAACAATGTAAATATATTTCCTTCAAAAGCTTTAGTGTTGTTTTTGGGTAGGTAAGTTACTCACAACACCCACTATTGCCCCCCAAGTAGACTTGAACCTTCAACCTTAGGAGATTGCACTTGAGCTAGAATCTCTCTCGTTTTTTTTTTTTTTTTTTTTTGGGTGTAATACTTCCTGTCCAGTGTTAGTATATGAGGTGATCCTTCACTATTGCCACCCCCCCCCCCCCCCCCCCCCCCCAGGAGAGTTGAACCCTCGACTTTTTATTTATTTATTTATTTTTTAAAATAAATAAATTCCAGTCCAGTGTTAGTGCATGAGATTATCCTTCAGTTCTTTCTCTTCAATAAACAGTTTGTTTGGTGCACTGTTATTGGTTAAATGTTATCATGTTGGTGGCGGCGGCATTGCACGTGAGTACTTAACTTGCTTTATTTAACATGCAGCTTAAAAATAAAATAAAAATTTGTTAGTACATTAGATGATCCTTCAGTTCTTTCTCTTCAAGAAACAGTTTGTTTGTTGCACTGTTATTGGTTTAATGATATCATGCTGTTATTGTTGTTGGTGGTGGCGGGAGTACTGAACTTGCTTTATTTTATATGCAGCTTATTTCCTAGAGGCATACCGCCCAGTGAGGAAGGGCGACCTCTTTCTTGTAAGGGGAGGAATGAGAAGTGTGGAATTCAAAGTTATTGAGACTGATCCACCAGAGTACTGTGTGGTTGCCCCCGACACTGAGATCTTCTGCGAGGGAGAGCCTGTGAGAAGGGAGGATGAGGATAGATTAGACGAGGTTGGTTATGATGATGTTGGTGGTGTCCGTAAACAGATGGCACAGATTCGGGAGTTGGTGGAGTTGCCATTGAGGCATCCACAACTCTTTAAATCAATTGGTGTGAAACCACCTAAAGGGATTTTGTTATATGGACCTCCAGGATCTGGAAAGACTTTAATAGCAAGAGCTGTTGCTAATGAAACTGGTGCTTTTTTCTTTTGTATAAATGGACCGGAGATCATGTCAAAGTTGGCTGGAGAGAGCGAAAGCAATCTCAGGAAAGCATTTGAGGAAGCAGAGAAGAATGCTCCATCCATTATTTTTATTGATGAGATTGATTCTATTGCTCCCAAGCGAGAGAAAACTCATGGAGAAGTTGAGAGGAGGATTGTTTCCCAGCTTTTGACTCTTATGGATGGTCTTAAGTCCCGTGCTCATGTTATTGTCATTGGTGCCACAAATCGTCCCAACAGCATTGACCCTGCCCTGAGAAGGTTTGGTAGATTTGATAGGGAAATAGATATTGGTGTTCCAGATGAGGTTGGGCGTCTTGAGGTTCTTCGCATCCATACGAAGAACATGAAGCTCGCTGAAGATGTAATATCAAACTTCACCTTTTGAGTTAATATCCTCTTCTATGTTTTATAGTAGATGTGTATGTTGTTTCTGAACTTCTGATTTTAATTGTGCAGGTTGATTTAGAAAAAATTGCCAAAGACACACATGGATATGTTGGCGCTGATTTAGCAGCTTTGTGCACTGAGGCTGCACTCCAATGCATCAGAGAGAAGATGGACGTGATTGACTTGGAAGATGAGTCCATAGATGCTGAGATACTCAACTCTATGGCTGTTTCGAATGAGCACTTCCAAACTGCTCTTGGAACAAGCAATCCATCTGCTCTGCGAGAAACAGTGAGTGAAATTTTAATATTTGTTCACTGGAGTTTGTAGATACAACTTTTGATTGGGTGCTAACTTCTAATGTTTTGGTGAGCCAGGTTGTTGAAGTGCCCAATTGCAATTGGGAAGATATCGGAGGCCTTGAGAATGTCAAGCGGGAGCTTCAAGAGGTAGTTGCAGTTGCTATATATATATATATATATATATATATATGCACCCTATCCTTCTGTTTTCATTTCTCCCCTCATTTGCTCTCTCTCTCTCTCTCTCTCCCAGTACGAAATAAGCACTGCATAACTAACGGGATCTGAATCTTGCACCTCCAATTTGGAGCAGCATTGTTGTCCTGTTCAAAATTAATTTGCTTACCCATACGCTTTTCTCGTGTGTAGACCGTTCAATATCCTGTGGAGCATCCTGAGAAGTTTGAGAAGTTTGGTATGTCACCCTCAAAGGGAGTTCTTTTCTATGGCCCACCAGGATGTGGGAAAACTCTTCTGGCCAAGGCTATTGCCAATGAATGTCAGGCAAACTTTATCAGTATCAAGGGTCCTGAATTGCTTACCATGTGGTTCGGGGAGAGTGAGGCCAATGTTAGAGAAATATTCGACAAGGCTCGTGGATCTGCTCCTTGTGTCCTATTCTTTGATGAGCTCGACTCAATTGCTACCCAGGTATGTTTTATTGTTTTCTACTCTGAAACTTGGTGGTGATGTTTTTGTGCTACTGGCTTACATTGTTTTATTAATTCATTGTAGAGGGGAAGCAGTGTAGGAGATGCTGGAGGAGCTGCTGATAGGGTTTTGAATCAACTCCTGACTGAAATGGATGGAATGTCTGCCAAGAAAACTGTTTTCATTATTGGAGCCACCAACAGGCCAGATATTATTGATCCTGCACTTTTGCGGCCTGGCCGTCTTGATCAATTGATTTATATCCCTTTGCCTGATGAAGATTCTCGGCATCAGATTTTCAAGGCTTGCCTTAGGAAATCTCCTGTTTCCAAAGATGTAGACCTGAGAGCCCTTGCCAAGTACACCCAAGGCTTCAGTGGTGCCGATATTACGGAAATATGCCAACGTGCCTGCAAATATGCCATAAGGGAGAACATTGAGCAGGTAAACTTCAGTGCTAATTTTTCATTTGATGCCAACAAACACCCCCGTGACCCCCCCAAGCCCCTCTATGTATTGTACTTTGATGCATATTATGTGTGCAAAGTTGTCATATCATATCTGGAAAAGCATGTGACAACTCTATTGGCAAGGGAAGAGAACTGCGGTTCTATTTCTGACATGGCACAGCAACACTGTTGCCTTGTAACAATGCGATTGTTATGCATGGCTCTATAGTGGTGGCTTTACAAAACTAAAAACGATAATGCACTTGGTGGATAATATGATTGAGCAGTTTTGGTGGATAATATGATTGAGCAGTTTTTTAGATCGATCGTTTTTGAAAATTACTCTTGCATGGGTTCTCTTGGAGGACTGACGCTATTCATCTCCAAGTGTTGAAACATTCTATTGTCTTCCTGCAATTATTTTTTGCTTAGGTTTATAGGGTTTAGGTCCATATTTTGGTTGAGTGAGTATGAATGTCCTTTATGCCAGTGTGGTCTAATCAGAGTCAAATTACCATAACTAATTTGTTTTGTTTGTAATTAGATTTAGTTGCGTTTATGGGACTGGATTTCCATGGACATTGTTTATTGTGTTTGACTTCGGCCTTTTAGCACAGAGGAGGTAGCATGTATGGGAAGTCCTTACACTAAAGAAAAGCAACTCAGTTCTTTTAAAGGCACAATGCCCTCATTTAAATCCATGTCTCACAAGGACTTGTTTAGTTTAAACTATTGGAAATGCCTACTTAATTGTGTGGAAACTAAAATATTTAGGTTGAATTTTCACTTTCCATTTTGTAGGACATCGAGAGGGAGAGGAGGAGAAGGGATAATCCCGAGGCTATGGAGGAGGATGTAGAAGATGAGGTGGCGGAGATCAAGGCCGCTCATTTTGAGGAATCAATGAAGTATGCGCGTAGGAGTGTGAGTGATGCTGACATTCGCAAGTACCAGGCGTTTGCTCAAACATTGCAGCAGTCTAGAGGGTTCGGTACCGAATTCCGATTCTCAGAGACCAGTGCAGGGACTACTGGAACTGACCCTTTTGCAGCCTCTGCTGGTGGGGCTGACGAAGATGACCTATATAGTTAGGTTATTTGTATCTGGCTTTTCTCTTCTTTTGTGTCCACTTTTCTTTCTATTTCTTCAATTGTATGTTACTTCCTGTGTCATGGGGTAAAAGCCTTCAAGAGATTATTATCATCAAACTCAGGGCTTCTGGCTTTTGGCCGGTGGATGACTCCTGGTTCCGGGTTAAATCTAAAACACTATTTGTTGTCCTGAAGGTTATCATGGATGGGTGGAAGTTATTTATGTAAGTTAAAGTTAAGTTATCCGAGTTTATGTTTACTAATTCTCATTGTTTGTGTCATCTTTGAATGCAACAATGCTATTAAGACTGTTGTTACCTTCCTTTTTTCTTTTTTCTTTTTTTTATATGGTAATTTTGATCATTCCAGACTTGGTTATATAAACTTTTTTAATTTGAATTCCATGACAAGTTGGTACCCTAGGAAAATTTCTTGTGATAATGCATGATAGGTGTTGGTTTATCATCAACACTAGCATCTTCTTTACATGCTTTCTTACAATATTCACCAAGACCCGTACCCTCTCTCTCTCTCTCTCTACAATTATCAAGGTACTGTAGAATCAGGAGTTGTTGATGCAGAAATAACACGCCTGCCTCTCTCCGACCTGCTATTCTCAGCAAACTTGAGGCTTCCTAGGTGCAACCCCTTCTGCTTCTCCTCCTCATTCCACTCTGACCCATAATAGTATTCTTCATTACACCTCATAACATCCTTGGTAGGCGGCAAGAACATGCTTCCCCACTGCGGAAAATGCACAAACATCACAGGAAGGGTGCACACGACAATCATGATGCCCATGAGAGAAATCCCCGTCGCAGTTGAGTACATTGAGCTAGTGAAGAACAAAGACTGCGTTAACCCTGATCCGAAATTCCCTCCTGCGCCAGTTAGGCCAGAGATGACACCGAGTGATCTCCGGGAAATGAATGGGATGATCCCAAAGGTAGCTCCACATGCAGCTTGAGCACCAATGGAGAAGAGGATCATTGATGAAATAGAGGTGAGAAGGGTGTTGGCTCGGCCGAGACAGATACAAAAGACCCCTCCTAGGGTTTGTAGGATCCATAGGTTCCAAAGCCGGCCCTGCATGCCAAACCGGCGTGCAGCGAGGTCCGACATGAGCCCGCCAAGGGGTCGAGCAACTATGTTGGCCATGCCAAATGTAGCAGCTATTGTTCCAGCTGTGTGAAGCTTGAGATTAAACCTAATGGACAAAAAACATTTCAAGTCATTACATATTTTTATTCTTTTGGATATATATGTAGGTTTTTTTTTGTTGTCATTAACTTATTTTACTAAAGTTCGAATGACCCCTTGAATGAATTTGATGAGAAGAGGATGAACCTGTCGTAGAAGTACTCTGCTATGATGTTATCGATGGTTAATTCTATACCCAGTGACATGCCATATAGAAGAACAAAAATCCATGTCCTGTAGTTTGTGATGGCATACCAAAGTACCTTAACAAAGAACATTGAAAAACCATGTTAAATGGTTATTTCAAAAATAGATGGTGACCAAAAAATCACAAAATTTGCAAGTAGTATGCTAGAAATTAATTCAAATTTAGGCTAAGAAAATTGACCTTGGTGAACTTATCTTTTGGGACATCTCCTTTGTTTTGAAGGGTGCCAAGGTTTCCATCAGGCAAATCTTGGCCTAACCCTAAGACCAAGAGCCCCATGATCACATGAAGCAATCCAGGGACCAAAAAGGCGATTCGCCACGCCGTGAACGGTGTTGCCCCGGCTTGCCGGATCACCTCGTACAGCATTGGCATGATGAGTTGAGTTGCTCCACCACCCATGTTACCCCACCCGGCCGCGGTGCCGTTGACAAGCCCAATTATCTTGCCATTGAACATGCTACTCATCCAATATTGGCACGACACGAACGTCGCAAGTGAGAATCCGATCACGAACCGGACGGCCACATACCCACTGGCCGACGAAACAAACGACATGCATAAAACGGTTGGAGCCGTTAACATGATGAGAAATGCACACCCGTACCGCGGGCCTAATAAGTCACAAACTGCACCCATTACAAGCCTAGAGAAGATGCTACCGGAGACTGAAGCTATGCCGGCGTTCCCTATATCGCTCTTCTTTAGGTTTAGGTTATCCCGGATGACAGGGACAAGTGGTGCAACGGCGAAGGTGGAGATGAAACAAGTGAAAAATGAGGTCCAAGAAAGGTGAAAAGTTCTCATGTGTGGGTTGGCAAAAGAGTAGATTTTGAACACTTTGGCTTTGTGCTCTGAATCTACCGGTAGTGTGAACTTCGCCGTCGTGTCGGTCGGGACAGTTGGAGAGGCTACTGAGAAGGCAAAGGTTTGCTCTTTGCCTGTGACTCCATGCATGGAGCTTCCAGGAATGCCAACTTCATCAGCCATTTTGCGTTTGTTATTTTGAGTCTCCCAAAGAGGGGTATTTATTTGGTTTTCAAAGTTATAATATGTGACCGTTGTCAATCTAAAAATTCTAGTTTGATTTCAACCGTCGGTAATGGTTTAGTGTATTGGATTTATGTGTGTTGTTGAAGTGGGGTTTGTAATAATTCTTAGTCACAGTAAATAATCATTCATCAAGTGTGAATAGGGTGTTTTCTCCCATGTCGTGGCAATTTCTCATTGAAAGAAAAAGAAATATATATTTATTCTCTCCTATGTGAATTTGGACTTCCTAAATGAAATCATACAATTTGATTAACTTGTCTATAGTGGAGCTTGGTCATAAATTCACCATAAGAAACAGAAATGTGAACTTGGACCAGGAAGCAATATTTGCCCCAAAAAGCGAAAAACATGATGATAATGAGAAAATTTTGTTTATTATATAATAAGGTCCAGTTTATGAAATCATTCTCTGCTAATTAATAGTGCTAGTTTTGATTATTTATCTCATATATATATATATACTATATAATATAGTTGGCTTAATGAAAAGCCTTTATAATCATCCAATTGAAGCCTCTTCACTACAAAAAAAAAATAAATAAATAAAAAATTGTTTTTGTCTGTAGACTTGTGTCTCTTCTCACCTAGTACCAAAACTAATAATTTCATTTCTCATATAGAAAAATTGGATCTAGTGCCCTTTCGCATGTTCAAAGAATTTTATTTTATTTTATTTTATTTTTTTAAAAGACAAAACCATGATTGGTTTTCATGTGCAAATTCAATTCAATTCAATTTTGTCTTCATTTGAATCTGGTATTTAGCTATATAATCGAATCTAATATTGCCGAATGTGGGAAAGCAACAAACTCTAAATTTACTTTTTCAAGAAGGCAATAATTTATTTTTGTTTTATAGCATGAACAATTGAGACTTTCCCACTAACCTTTTGGAGAAACTTAACCCTAAAATATTTTTTTTATTAAAGAATATGATAAATCACTAGAGTGGTAACAATTGAGACATTAATTACCAAACTTTCCATGATCCTAAATTTATTCAAATAATATGATAATGATAAGCATCAATTTGGTCCCCCCTGCAAACAACATCGAAATTTTAGGTGAGGTGTCACATAACTTCCAATTTACCATATTGGTATGAATAATCCTAATTAATCTTAATTAATTGTGTAGCGACACTGTGTCTGAACTTTAAAAAATGCGTCAAAGTCACCTAAATTTGGAGGAACCTTTTAACTTAGGAGAATCCTTTAAATTTACCTTTTATCCAACAATTTAAGTATCTCATGTAATAAGTTGATACATGAGACAAACACCAAGTTACTTAACAAGTAGGGGTAGCAAATTACGACACGATACGACAACACGACAACACAACACGAGTTAAACGGGTTTAGATTTGATATAAACAGGTTTGGGTCATAAAAGGGTCGACACGATTAATCCATTTACTTAACCATATCGGGTTAGGGTTGAGGGGTTCAACCCGTGTAACCCATTTAACTCAACATGTTATAATCGTGAATATGACCTATGTAATATGTTATATGTTTAAACCCAATTTTTATGGATAGTTAAGTCATTTCAACATAAACCTTGTATATGCCTTATGATTTTTCTTTTTATTTTGAATATTTGGATTAATTATGACAAATTTTTTCTATTATTTAATATTTTATTAAATATTAAATGTCTCGTTTTGATAAACAGATCATTAAACGAGTTAACATGTTTACCTGTTTAATAAACGGGTTGGGTTAATGTTGAGAATTCTCGACACGATTATTAAATGGGTTGGGTTTGGATTTACCTATTTAGTATAATAATCTTACATCGATATGACCCGAACACAACCCACGAACACGAATTGGCACCCCTAGTTACAAGGTAAAATTTGTCCTACATCGAATCCGGATGAAAAATGACATAAATATAAATGGGTAGGTATACAACACTACCCAATAGTTTAAGTGTAATGACCCAAACCAGGGGTCCGGATCGCTAATCAGGTCCTTAACCACACCCGATGACACACTAGGGGTAAAATGGTCATTTTACAATATGAGAGGGTAATAAGTCCTCAAACTAGTCAAATGAAGTCTAAAACAATTATTCTAGTTATTCCATGATGTTCGGTGAGGTTCTACAGTCATCGGATATGAATTCCCAAAAGTACCCTTTCCCGGTTCAAAGGGGATTCCGACACTGTTTCACAAAAACAACCATAACTCACAACATGAGTGGAATTTGAGGATGAGGTTGGTCCCATTGGAAATCTAACTTAAAATCCTTGAAAATGGACTCAAGAATGACCCTATTTGGGTTTAGAACGAAGAAGTTATGACTGTCCAAAGTCAGGTGATCAAGGCTGATAAACTGACAACCAAAATGTACACACTGGGGGACTTGAACCGGTTTAGTGGGGTTGAACCAGTTCAAGATGGGCAGTGTGCCTACTCAAGAACCATATGCACCCCCTTGAACCTCAAATTGCCCTAAACAGTCTAAAATTGTGATCTTGTGCATTTTGGTACTACTTTGGTCCTTTGGTGACCTTACTCAAAGTTCAAACCTGTCCCAAATCTTCCATATAATGATGAAACTAACACTACTAAGTGGTACTAAAATCGAATAAGACCATACACGAGTCCGATACATCATTAAAATTAAGCAAATCCGTCATACATCAAAGATATGGCCTAAAGGCCTTACATGGATATTGAAATCAGAATGAGACCACAAAATACAAATAAATGGCCTCAAGACCATTTCCAACCATGTGGAAGATACAAAATGATCCCTAATACAGTTTACAACAAAAGGGGATAAAATACACATTAAGCACAAAAAAGTCCAAGTTCGTCAACCCGACTAAGCTTATGGTGGATTATCGTCCACCACTTTCTTTCCGTGTCCTGAAAAATGTTAATAATAAAGGGATGAATAAATTACTCAGTAGGTAGTGCCTAAGACACACCTCTTATGACCTCGTGAATCCAAATAATGAATAAAGCAAAAGAAAACGAGATCATACAACTCTAGGGAGAAATATAACCATAATATCAATAACAAATAATCCAAGTCATAATGAGCCATGCCGTGCAATGGGATGCAATGACATGCAATGTCGCTCCCTATTTCTAAAACATTTTTCGTCATCATTTCCAAATCGTTAATGCAACCCGTCCCATGGCAACTTCATAGCGGCACGAGAGAATGATTGGTTAACTGTCCCTGACCACAAGGCAACTCCAAGGCGTCATTTGGGGCCTAGTTAACTCAACCATGCTAGGGCAGTCTCCCTAATTCCCTCTAGATCACATTAATGCCACGGACCCATAGGCAACTCCTAGGCAATCGGGTTTTAGCAAACCTTTCATTAAAATATTTTTCCCAAAATCATTTTCTTTCCTTTTTAAATCATTTTCCCATTTTATTGCCCAATGTCATGCATGAAATGCATCTTGCTTTTCAATGCCATGCCCATGGAGGATTTCATGCTTCACAAATCAAACATTAACAATGTAGCATACCTTGTAAAGAATTTCAAATAAAATAAACATCATACTTCCATGTCACAACATCTAGCATTTTCCACACCATAGGCAAATAATATCATCAGTTAAGCATGTTTTTTCATATAATTTTAACTAACTCATAGTCATATGATTTACAAAATTTTTATGGCCTAACTTATACTTTCAAGTCATGAAATTTAGCACCAAAGGTACAAATAATACAAATTAATCATCAATTAAACATGATTCATCATCATATATACCAAGTAACACATAGTCACAACATATATACAATATAGCATGAAATTTCTACAAAATTAAGCATGTTAACCACAAATTAAGATGATTAATTCACAAAAAGTCCAAGAAAATGTGAATTAGAAACCCTTACCTCAAAAGGAAGCAAAATCCCCAAAAATTGCCCAATCCAAATCCTAATTTTTGAAATTCCAAGGTGCACCAAATGGGGATTGGCTCAGATCAAATCGAAGATCGCAATGCGCTCTCTAACTTACCGCAAACGGCATAAAAAATCTCCAAAAGGTGAGAGAGAAATTGAAGTTTGAAGTTTGCTCAAAAGAAAAAGAAAAAGAAAAAGTGAGAAAGGGAACGAGGGAGAGAACTACTGGAGAGAGAAGAAATGTGAGGCTAAAATGGCCTCTTCGCTATTAAAAGTTGTAACAATTGGTGGTTGTCCCACCAATGAAAAAAAAAATCTTTTTAAATTTAATTTTGCCACCACAAAATGCATATGCACTAATATATATATCATAGCCACCAATTAACTTATACATAAAATTAATTATGCATGGTATGAAATGGACCCGTGACACAACTCATGTACACAAAAATCCCAATAGCGGGTCCCACCCGGGACCATCCGGCTTGAAAAACAAAAAAATGTCGAAATGGCAACCCTTACATTCCCAAGAGTTCTAAACTCAAAGAAATGCCCGAACCGACTCTCGGACACACCCGGCACACTCCACGGTGTCCGGCACGCAAAACAAGAAAAGACAAAAATGCCCTCGAAAAATCAGAAAATTCTAGAAAATAAAAAATGGCAAAAATTAGAAACATTACATTAAGTTTTTTGATAAATGAGAAAATGTCTACACGTTACAATTAGTATCAAAATAAGACTCAATTCTTGATCCGGTACCACGTTAAGCACCCGAATCGGAAGTCGTCCGAGTGTGCTAGCCGGATTGACAAGGTGGCCCAATCGCAACGAGGGCGTTGCGAGTTCAGGTGAAAGAGAATATTTCAAAAACAAACTTGTTTTATATTAAATCCGAATAAAAAGTAATATGAATATAAATAGGTGGATAATTACCCAAGCCCACCCGTTACTTTTACCCACTCCAATTAATTCATTTCAATATGCCACTTGAATTGGTATTTTATCCAGTTGTTATCTCTATGAATCCAATGTAATATTGACACCAAATTTTGTCTTGCATGCTTGGTTTACATGGCATATACACACACTATTCATTTCTCGTTATATGTGTGTGTGTTGTATAAATTTTTAGTTCATTTTGAAGTACCCAAAGGGTATTTTGTGGGACTGCATTAGACCCATTGCAAAAATAATTTAAATATGATAGGCGGCATAAATAAGTCAATTACCTAGTAAACTTCTCCTTAATGTTGGTGTTTATAAATGTGCTTTCAAACAGTAGGTTTGTGTTTCTAAAAATAATTGTGGTATGCAATGACGTTAATAATGGTTATGGTTATGTAATCGTATCTCGCTTCTTATTATTGATTTTAGAGAAGATTTCAATTCTCATAATCGCAGTCTTACGCAATTTATATGTGATGATCATGAAATTCATTTAGGGTCCAATGTCATTCATAATCTGATAAGTCACCTGGAATGAGAGTCAATGTGATTCCTAACTTAAGTCACATGGAATGTGAGCAGTAAGAATGAGACCAAATTTGAAAATAAGAGTGCAAAAATAATAAAATTAAAATCACAAAGTAAATATAGAAGTAACAGAATTGTGTGACTTGTGTGTAGCAATTTGCCACAAAAATGAGCTGAAGAATTTTTTTCCAAAAGCCTCCCATTTAATTAAAAAGTGTCGTAAGAATTTGCTGGGACGCTGTCCCATTGGTAGGTTTTATAGCGACATTTTTGTCATGCATCGTCAACATTTGGGAGAAAAAGGCAGCGACTTGAATTCACTGTGAGACTAAACTGAAGCTTCTCTGAATTCGTTCTCCGCCCAAATGTCGACTCCAAAATTCTTCGAAACAGCCAAGAAGGTTTTCTCGGTAAAATCCGCATCAAATTCAAATAAAAAAGTCGCCAAATTGATCTCCAAGACCCTAATAAACTCAGTCTCAAAGCCCCTTCAAATCACACCCTCTCTCATTTCCAGCCTCAATTCGCAAATTACCCACCTTGTTCTCTCAAACCCACATGTCCCAACCCAATCTTGTGTGCACTTCTTCAAATTCCTCCAAACAAACCCATCTCTCACTCCCCACAAACCCAATCTTCAAGCTCACATAACCCTCGTTTGCCGCTTATTCAAAACCAGAAACTTCATTGAAGCCAAGAATGTGTTGAACATTCTTGCCAACAACGATGATCTCAGACACCCAGTTCAGGATATAGTGTCTTTAGTATCAGAAGATTGTAAAGAACCCAAGATTGTTGTGAAATTATTTGATATGCTCTTTAGGGTTTATGCGGATAATAGAAGGTTTCAGGAGGGTTTAGAGGTTTTTGAGTTCATGAAAAATAGTGGGTTTGAGATTGATGATAGATCTTGCATGGTTTATCTACTCGCACTGAAGAGATATGATAAAACAGAGTCATTGTTAGGGTTCTTTCGTCGGATGGTTGAAGCAGGTGTAAGAATTACAGTTTATTCGATGACGATGGTGATTGATGGAATGTGTAAGCGAGGAGAGGTTGATAAAGCTAGAGAATTGATGCATGAAATGGTTAGTAGAGGAACTAAACCCAATGCATATACATATAATACATTGATAGATGCATATGTAAAGAAATTGGATTTGGGTCGAGTTAAGGAGATACTGAATACAATGGAAAAGGAAGGTTTGGCCTACAATGCGGCAACATATACACTCCTCATTGAAGGTTCTGGCAAGATTGAAGAGGCAGAGAGATTGTTTGAAGACATGCACAAGAAGGGAATAGAGGCTGATGTTCATGTGTATACTTCTTTAATTAATTGGAATGGTAGGTTTGGAAATATGAAAAGGGCATTTGCGTTGTTTGATGAATTGACTGAGAGAGGCCTTGTTCCGAATGCTCACACTTATGGGGCTTTGATTAATGGTGTGTGCAAGGCCGGGCAGATGGTGGCTGCGGAAGTTTTGCTAGATGAGATGCAAATTAAGGGAATTAATGTAAATCAATTTATTTTTAATACAGTAATGGATGGGTACTGTAAGCAAGGGATGATAAATGAAGCGTTCAAGCTGCAGGTTATCATGGAGAGCAAAGGACTCGAGGCTGACGTGTTTGCTTATAACATAATTGCTACCGGGTTGTGTAAATTGAACCGGCGTGAGGAAGCGAAGAGGTTGTTGTGCACAATGGTAGACAAGGGTGTAGCTCCAAACACAGTGAGTTTCACTACATTGATTGATATATATTGCAAGGAAGGAAATTTTGTTGAAGCGAAAAGGCTGTTTCGGGAGATGAAGAACACAGATGAGAAACCTAATGCTGTGACATACAATGCTCTAATAGACGGGTTTAGCAAGAAAGGGAAAATGAAAGAAGCTCGTATGCTAAGAGAGGAGATGAAAGACAATGGGGTGGTAGCAGATGTGTATACCTACACATCACTTATACATGGAGAATGTATACATGGAAAGATAGATGAGGCACTGAAAATGTTCAATGAGATGCCACAGAGGGGATTAATTCAGAATGTAGTAACTTACACAGCTATGATTTCAGGGTTATCAAAAGCGGGGAGATCTGATGAAGCTTTTGGATTGTATGATGAGATGAAAAGGGCAGGCATTACTCCAGATTCCTCTGTATACTCTTCACTTGTGGCCAGTCTTCATACAGCCACATCTTAGCTTTAAGTTATCTCAGCAATAAAAGAACAGTCCTCTCTTACATTTTTGGTAAAATTATATCTCTATACATCTGATGAAGTGGTCTCAATTTGCCAGTACATATGATAGTTGATGTATCATCGATTCTCAGTCTGAAAATGATGCGTTTGGATGTAAGATATATTATTTGGTGAGGTAATGCTCTCTGGAGGAAAAATTGTATGAGCTGCAGTTATTTTCTAAACCAGGAGTAGACTGGGGATGGGATTTTATTTTAGCTTGTATCAACTCATTTCATGCATTCCAAGCTTGTAGCAAGTAGTTCCAGTTTGCAGCAGTTGCATTTCAGGCGGAGAAAGTATGTACATTAACTCATTGTCAATGAATTTCTATTTTCTTCTTGTTATGGACACAACAAAAGTTCAACCAGTTGTGAATAAAATTGATTTCAAACCTCTCTGTTATCATCCTCAGAATTTGATAATATAGGTGAACCAGTGGACATCGACATCATGCTACTACCTTCCGTATGAAATTCAGATGATTTGGAAATTTCGGTTGTTCTAGTACCCGCTAGCCTGCTTCTGATTCAAATACTGGTGGAATCAACTCCTGACTGAAATGGATGGAATGTCTGCCAAGACAACTGCTTTTACTTTTGGAACCACCAACAGGCCTGATCTTATTGATCCTGCACTTTTGCGGCCTGACCATCTTGATCAATTGATTTATATCCCTTTGCCTGATGAGGATTCTCGCCATCAGGTTTTCAAGGCTTGCCTTAGGAAATCTCCTGTTTCCAATTGTATAGACCTGAGGGCCCTTGCTAAGTACACCCAAGGCTTCAGTGTGCTGATATTACCAAAATATGCCAACATGCCTGCAAATATGCCATAAGGGAGAACATTGAGAAGGCAAACTTCTGTACTAATTTTTCATTTGATGCCAAGAAACATGCCAGTGACCCTATCCTCTCATAGCCCAGTCTTACGGCCTTACCAGCCTCATGACCCCCCAGCCCCTCTAAATATTGGTAATTTGATGCGTATTCTGTGTACAAGTTATTGTATCATGTCTGGAAAAGCATGTGACAACTGAATTGGCAACGGAAGAGAATTGCTGTTCTATTTCTGACATGGCACTGCAACATTGGTGCCTTGTAACAATGCGATTGTCATGCATGGCTCTATGGTGGTGGCTTTACAAAACTAAGAATGATAATGCACTTGGTGAGTTGGTGGATAATATGATTGAGCCACTTTTTAGATAGATCGTGTTTGAAAATTACTCTTGCATGAGTTCTCTAGGAGGACGCTATTCATCTCCAAGTATTGAAACATTCTATTGTCTTTCCTGCAATTATTTTTTGCTTAGGTTTCTTGGGGTTCGATGCATATTTTTTAATGGCTTCAACGGTTGGTTAAGTGAGTATGCATGTCCTTATGCCAGTGTGGTCTAATCAGAATCAAAGACCATCTTGGCTTTTAGCTTGTTTCTTCTGGTTTCACTAATTTGTATTATATGTAATTAGATTTAGTTGTGTTCATGGGACAGAACTTCCATGAAAGTTGGACAATTTTTATTGTGTTTGAATTTGGCCTTTTAGCACAAAGGAGGTAGCTTGCAATGAAAATGGCATCCCAGTAAAATCGGTCCTTTGTCATATTCTGGGAAGTCCATGCACTCAAGAAATGATAAGAAAAGCAACTCAGTTATTTTGAAGGCTCAATGCCCTCATTTGAACCTATGTTAAACTCAAGGACTTGTTTAATTTAAACCGTCTTTGGAAATTATTTTATCCGTTTTGTTGTGTGGAAACTAAAATATTAAGGTTGAGTTTTCACTTATCATTTTGCAGGATATTGAGAGGGAGAGAAGGAGAAGGGAGAATCCTGAGGCTATGGAGGAGGTTGTAGAAGATGAGGGGGCGGAGATTGAGGCTTCTCATTTTGAGGAATCAATGAAGTTAAGCGCGTAGGAGTGTGAGTGATGCTGACATTCGTAAGTACCAGGTATTAGTCAAACATTGCAGCAGTCTAGAGAAAAATTTTTAAACCTCTGCTGTTGGGGCTAGATGACCTATATAGTTAGGTTATTCGTATGTGCCTTTTCTCTTCTTTTGCGTCAAAATTTCATACTGTTTCTTAAATGTACAGAATTGTTGCTTCCCTGTGTCATGGGGTAAAAGTCTTCGAGAGATTATTATCATCAAACTCAGGGAATCTGGCTTTTGGCCAGTGCATCACTTCTGGTTCCAGTTTGAAGTTCTAAATCAGTGTGTGTTGTCCTGAAGGTTATCATGGATATGTGGAAGTTATTTATCTGAGTTTATGTTTCCTAGTTCTGAATGTCTGTGTCATCTTTGAATGCAACAATGCTATTAAGACTGTTGTTCTTTTGATGATTACTATGCTATTGTTACCTGCTTTTTGTGGTTTTGATCACTCCAGACTTGGTTATATAAACCTTTTGATTTGAACTTGATAAGTTATTGGAACCCTAGGGTTTGTAGTTTCTTTCTTGTGATAATCGAGCCTTGTTCTTCCTAATTATTTCATTGCTAGTTTAAAGTTAGTACAAATATGCCCATTTCACTTCAGTGGCATATTTCTGTTCTTCTAGGCGTTTGGGGCTATCAATTTTTTTTTTGGGAAATCGATATTTTTAATTGATAGAAGTTTCCTTGCTATTTAGACTAATATCTGAAATATGTAGATCATTTACATGCATAAGGTTTGGGTTGATGACATGCATAATAAGTGAACTCAGCAACTTATTTCGCTTCAACCTTCATGAAGGTGAGGCTTCATGAGAATTGTGGCAGACTAGGCTTATTTGATAAAGACTCTGAAAATAATGATTTAATTAGGAGTTTTGCCCAATCTAATGCCTGAATGATGACGAGTTAGGACCAAATATCTTCCAGTATTACAAGAATTATTCTTTGACCCTGTCTGGAGATGAGAAAGTACACTCGACTGACTCTTGATCGTACCCCAAGTGTGTGTAATATACATATATATATATATACATGTATATATTTGTAATGTTCTTTGGAGGAAAAAATTGTATGAGCTGCAGTTATTTTCTAAACCAGGAGCGAACTGGGGAAATGGGATTGGATTTGAGCTTGTATCAACTCATTTGGTGCATTTCAAGCTTGCAGCAAGTGGTTATAGTTTGTATCAACTCATTTGGTGCATTTCAAGCTTGCAGCAAGTGGTTATAGTTTGCAGCAGTTGCATTTCATGCAGAGAAAAATAGGTAATAATCATTGAACTTTTATTTTCTTCCTATCATGGACCACAACAAAAGTAGAACCAGGTCTGACTACAATTGATTTCAGACCTCTTTGTGTCATCCTCAGAATTTTGATAATATTGTTGAACCAGTCCAGTGGACAAGGAAACAATCATGCTGAGTACTTGCCTTAATCTTTTGTTCATTGCAGCTGGGCTGGAAAAATCTCATTTTTGGATCCTCCAAGAAATTGTATACTGGGTGAGCGGAGCATATACCAAATCATAATACATCATTTAGGTAAGTGGGAGAAAGTTTTTTCCTTGAGGGGAACCCAAATAAAAATTCCTCAAGTAGATTCCACTCACATGGATCCCTCTACATTTCACAATCTCACTTATTCGATGAGAATAGGATGGCAGATGTGGTGGAGGTCCAGACGCGTCGCACCCAATCAAATATAACATATTATTTTGTTAGCCCTAATTTTAAAAGTAGATGGGTTAACTTTTTTTGAAATGATACATTGTTATTGGTTGGTTGGGCTTGGTATGCCTGGCGCATTTCGATATTTACTCCTTAGTGAGACATGACTAATTGCATTTAATATATACTCCTCATCCCATTAGCCAGGGTATTACAAATGAGTATCATTACTACTCCCTTCTTTCTAATAGAAGTGTTCCTTTTTGGGAATATCCTTTTTAAGAGAATGATTTTTATTATTTTTAATTTTATTAGTGGCAAATGAATTACTAATTTTACTCTTAATGGCCTCACACTGATTTGATTGTTTACTTTTTGTAGATTCAATGTAAGAAGGTTTAATTAATAATATTAAAAAAAAATAGTATATTGAACTTTTTAATAATATTAGATACGACACTAATTTTAATTTTGGGACGGATAAAATAAAAAAAGGTGGACAATATACTTTGGGAGAAAGGAAGAATTACTTTACTAAATTTTAAATGACCCATGAAAGAATTTGATGAGATTAGGATTACAGTTATGGTGAGGGCCCCACCTACGTGATGAGGGTCCATTACCTCATAGAACTGGAGTAGAAAAAATGTGCCAAATTGCATATATATATATATATATTTTAACGTCTTGTTGGGAGTCCTTTATTCTTAAATTTTATATTTAGGTTATGTCCCGTTGCTTTGAATTTGAACTTTGAAATTAAAATTGTTGAAATTAAAGAAAATTAACTTATAAAATTGAATCAAAATTTTCTTTAATAAAATTTCATTTGTTTGAAATGATCGGATTTTAAAATGGAATATTTGATTGGATTCTAAAGAAAATTTGGTAAAGTGTAGAAATCTGAGAAAAATGATAGGATTTGAAATGTAAATACCAAATTATCCTTTTATTACCTATTTTAAGTCTCTAATTTTATAAACCTTCTTTATACCAAACTGGTAAAAAGTCTAATATATTTCAAATTCTATTTTACAAATTCCAGTTTCATCCAAACATCTAAATATAATTTTATTTAATTACAATCCAATTCCTTTTCTATTTCCATTTTTAAATCCCAAAGGATTTTGGTTTCAAAGTGTGATATTAGATTTTCTTTGCTTATGGTTTAGTTTTTTTATTATAACTACATATTATAATTACCAATTCAATTATTAATACAATATCAAATTTTTCTGCAAATTGTGAATTCAAATTGCTTATGGTTCAGAACTTTCATAGCTTCCTTCCGGAGTTGTTCAATGGCTTCATTGGTTCGTGTTGCTCGTGTGAAAAACGAGCTTTATAGAAGACTACAATGTCGCCAACTCTCTCATCATGTTTATTGTCGATCTTTGGTTTCTCTACATGTTCAGTCTCCTATTCAACCAAGCCTTGCCTTGCAATGTCGATGGTCTTCTTCCTCGGTTCCTTCTGGTATTTTCTACATCTTAGGTCAGAATTGTCCTAAAATTGCTGATGCCCAAACAAGTTTTTTTTTTTTTTCCTAATTTATTTATTCTTATTCTCTATCTTAGCAATTAACTGTAGTCGTACTGCCTCTTGGGAAGGTGTTAAAATTGTTGATACACAAATAAGTATTTTATTTTATTTATTATTATTATTATTTTTTTGTATTTGTACTTTGGCAAAAACACGCACCCCTACTTTGCCTTCCATGGAGACCTAGGTACCTTCGTTGTTTGTTGCATTGTTAATGTTAAATGTTATCATGCTGTTATTGTTGTGAGTAATGCTATTTAAATGGAATACTAGAAACCCCTACGTTAGACAAATAGGCTTCTTAATTTACTTTTAAGAATTATTTTTCTTTTGATGTTGGTGACTGTGAACGTAGTACTGAATCTGCTTTATTTAATTAATATGCAGCTAATTTCCTAGAGGTGTACCGCCAGCTCTTTCGAAGTAAATTTGGTAAGACTGATCCTCCACCACCACCACCACGACGTGAGAAGTGTGTGGTTGCCAATGAGACCAAGCCTGTGAAGGAAAGAGTAGACAAGATTGGTAAGCAGACGGCACAGATTAAACAGGAGATGGTAGAGTTGGAAGGTGTTAAAATTGTTGATATACAAATAAGTTCTTTTTTTTTTTTTTTTTTTTTTTTTTTTTTTTTGGTACTGTGGCAAGAACACACACCCCTACTTTGCCTTCCATGGAGACCTAGATACCTTCGTTGTTTGTTGCATTGTTAATGGTTATTGTTGTGAGTAATGCTATTTAAATCGAATACTAGAAACCCTTAAGTTAGACAAATAGGCTTGATAATTTATATTAAGAATCATTTTTCTTTTGATGTTCGTGACGGTGAACGTAGTACTGATCCTGCTTTATTTAATTAATATGCAGCTACAAAACCACATGAGAAGCGTGTGGTTGCCAGTGAGACCGAGCCTGTGAGAAAGAAGGAAGAGGAAATAGTAGACAAGATTGGTTATGATGATATTGGTGGTGTTCGTAAACAGATGACACAGATTCGGGAGTTGGTGGAGTTGCCATTGAGGCATCCACAGCTCTTTAAATCGATTGGTGTGAAGCCACCTAAAGGGATTCTGTTATACGGACCTCCAGGAACTGGAAAGACTTTGATAGCCAGAGCTATCGCTAATCAAACTGGTGCTTTCTTCTCGGGTATAAATGCACCAGATATAGTGACAAGATGGTCTGGAGAGAGCGAAAGAAATCTCAGACAAGTATTCGAGAAAGCAGAGGAGAAAGCTCCATCCATTATCTTTATTGATGAGATTGATTCTATAACTCCCAACCGAAACAAAACTCGTATGGAATATGAGAGGAGGCTTGTTACTCAGCTCTTGACTCTTATGGATGGTCTTAAGTCCAGTGCTAATGTTATTGTCATTGGTGCTACGAATCGTCTCAACAGCATGGACCCTGCCCTAAGAAGGTCTGGTAGATTTGATAGGGAAATAGAAATTGGTGTTCCAGATAGGGTTGGGCGTCTTGAGGTTCTTCGCATCCTTACCAAGAAAATGAAGCTTGCTGAAAATGTAATAATAATATCAAACACCATTATTATGCTTTTATGGTAGTAGATGTGTATGTATGTATATTGTACGTTTCTCAACTTAATTATGCTTTTTAATTCTGCAGGTTGATTTAGAAAGAATTGCCAATGACTCACATGGATATGTTGGTGCTGATTTAGCAGCTCTATGCACTGAGGCTGCATTCCAATGCATCAAGGAGAAGATGAACGTGATTGAGTTGGAAGATAAGTCCATAGATGCTGAGATAATCAACTCCATGTTTGTTTCGAATGACCACTTTCAAACAGCTCTTGGAACAAGCAATCCATCTTCTCTCCGTGACACGGTGTGTGAAATTTCTATATTTGTTCACTGGAATTTGTAGATACAAACATTTATTGACTACTATGTGTTGACTGTTTTGGTGAGCCAGCTTGTTGAAGTGCCTAATTGCAGTTGGGAAGATATCGGAGGCCTTGAGAATGTTAAGCGGGAGCTTCAAGAGGTAGTTGCAGTTGCTGCACTGCAGCACATATATATATATGTGTGTGTGTGTACGCGCGCGCACTCTATCCTTGTATTTTTGTTTCTCCCCCTCATACTTTCTCTCTGTGTTTCACATGTGTAGACGGTTCAATATCCTGTGGAGCATCCTGAGAAGTATGAGAAGTTTGGCATGTCACCCTCAATGGGAGTTCTTTTCTATGGGCCACCAGGATGTGGGAAAACTCTTATGGCCAAGGCGATTGCCAGTGAATGTCAGGCAAACTTTATCAGTGTGAAGGGTCCTGAATTGATTGGTATTTGGGTTGGGGAGAGTGAGGCCAATGTTCGAGAAATATTTGACAAGGCTCGCATATCCGCTCCTTGTGTCCTATTCTTTGATGAACTCGATTCACTTGCTGTCCGGGTCTGAATTGTTGTTTCCTACTCTGAAATGTGGTTGTGATGGTTTGTGCATGCTTCGGGCTTACAATGTTTCTTTTTTATTCCTTGTAGAGGGGAACACATAAAGGCTCTGGTGTTGCTGATAGGGTTTTGAATCAAATCCTAATTGAAATGGATGGAATATCTGCCAAGAAAACTGTTTTCGTTATTGGAGCCACAAACAGGCCTGATATTATTGATCCTGCACTTTTGCGGCCTGGCCGTCTTGATCAATTGATTTATATCCCTTTGCCTGATGAGGATTCTCGCCATCAGATTTTCAAGTCTTGCCTTAAGAAATCTCCTGTTTCCAAAGATGTAGACCTGAGAGCCCTTGCTAAGACCACCCAAGGCTTCAGTGGTGCCGATATTACGGAAATATGCCAACGTGCCTGCAAATATGCCGTAAGGGAGGACATTGAGAAGGTAAACTTCTACATTAATTCTTCATTTGATGCCAACAAACACCCCAGTGATCCCACCCTCGCACATCCCACTCTTCCCAATAACTCTATGAATTTTCACTTTTCATTTTGCAGGATTATGAGAGGGGGGAGAGGATAAGGGAGAATCCTGAGGCTATGGAGGAGAATGTAGAAGATGAGGTGGCGGAGATCGAGGTTGCTCATTTTGAGGAATCAATGAAGTTTGCCCGTAGGAGTGTGAGTGATGCTGAAATTCACAAGTTCGAGACACTTGCTCAAACATTGCAGCACTCTCGACGGTTCAGTAGCGAAAACTGACCCTTCCCTTTTGCTGGTGGGGCTGATGAAGATCACCTCCTACATAGTTAGGTTATTCATACATATGTTTTCTTTTCTTTTTGTGTCGACTTTTCATTCTACTTCTTAAATGTATGCAACTGTTGCTTCCCTGTGTCATGGGGTAAAAGCGTTCATGAGATTGATTATGATCATCAAACAACTCGGCCCTTCTGGTTTTTGGCCAGTGGATGACTCCTGGTTCCAGTTTAAAGTTCTAAACAATGTTTGTTGTACTCAAGGTTATCATGGATGCGTGCAAAGACGTGTAACGTTACCTATTTAATAAACAAATCAAATGACACAAACTTGTTTTAATTATTTGCTTTACCCCCTTATGTAACTCATTTATTAACGTACGTATAAAATGAAAATATAATGAAAATTTTGAAATAATGAAGATAGGAATAATTGGAACAACACAATTAAAAATATAATCCAGATACAATAAATATATTGGATTTATAATGAAATAATAGAAATATCAATGGTAACTGGATTTATTACAGACGCTCCCCAGCTGTTCTATTTCTGACATGGCAGATCTATTTTTCTTAGTTCTCAGTGTCTGTGTCATATTTGAATGCAACAATGCTATTAAGAGTTGTTCTTTTGATGATTACTATGCTGTTGTTACCTGCATTTTGTGGTTTTGACCACTGGAGACTTTGTTATATTAACCTCTGGATTTGAACTTCATGATTACACTCAACTGACTCTTGATCATCCACCAAATATGTGTGAGATCTATATATATATATATATATATATATTGGGTAAGTGAGAACACAAACTATGGTCCAATTGAGTTTGAGGATGAGACGATACACATGAGCTAACATTGTTCAACTATGTATGTATGTTTACAAACGTCCATTTCTGCAACATTGGAAAGAGATGTATCACTGCTCTCTTAACCAATGGGCTATAATTCTAATACTATGGCCCAACCCAAAAATAGCCATATGTAATACTACTACGAGATGGAGTATATGGTTGTAGACAAGTATACTAAATTTCGGCTTCCAAAATTTTATGGCTCAAAAAGGTTATTTCAATTAGAGAGATGGTCACACACTTCTGATCAGTTAATTATTGCAATTTTGTTTCTGACAGTTCAAAATGACAGCCTAATAATAAGTATTTGTTCATATGCTCGATAATTCAATAATTTTCAAATTTATATTGGAATTCTTAAATTATACTATTTCGATCATGACTTTGTTTATCAAAAATAGAAAAATAAATACCAACAATTGCAATTAAGATACTAGAAATTAATTGAAGTTTTAGGTTAAAAAAATTGATCTTGGTGACCTTATATTTTAGGACATCTCCATTCTTTTGGTCAACTTATATTTTAGGACATCTCCAATTATATATATATATGCTAAATTACATTGTTTTTTATTATTATTATTATTATTATTATTATTATGGATTAATTACATTGACGCTTTCTGAAGCTTGTTATATTGATAGTCATAAATAATTTAACTGTTTTTTAGACAAAGACATCCCTTTAATTTGCAAACTTAAATAATGACACCCCAAACATAATAAAAGTACATGTTTACTCTTTGACCACGTAAAATGACCAAATTACCCTCATTCAAAAAATCCCATCTTCCAAATTTTCCATCATCCCATTCATTCCCTGTGAGCCCTTCTTCCCCGCCGTCCATCAAGCCGCTCATCACCGTCCCGCTGTCACCCTCATCCGAACCATCCACAGCTGCAATCTATTGCCCTCCTTGAGTTATATATGGTCTATTTGATTATTAGAAACAAAGCCCCAGTATTTCAGACTTTCAGTTAGTGTAATGTAGATTATTGAGTCAATTTGAAGATAGATGGAGCTAGGGTTTGGGTGAAAAAAAAATTGCAGAAAAGATAACAGGGGTGGTGCGTAGTGTGTGGAGATGATGGTGGATGGGTATAGAGAACTCTATCTTTTCCGGCGTATTCCATTCTTGCCGTTGTTCGCTTGGAGCATACAGAGGTGAGAGAGAGAGAGTACAGGATTTGAGAGAGCTCGCTGCCATCATCCGCAAGCTCACAGCCGAAGCCGCAAGCAGCCCATTTCCACGTCGGGGTTCACAAACCGCCGTCGCCAAAGCCGGATCCGTCTCACCGGGCATTGCCGCAGTTCATCTACAGCCGCAGCCACCGCGAGTCATCCACGGCGATTCAGTTCTACCGCCATTCCGAGCCGAACCAGCCTGTTGCCCACGGCCCAGCTGTCTGCTGTCCCCATCTCCCCACCATCCGACCGGCTGCCGTCAAAACCAAGCTCGCAGCAACCTCCATCAAAACCGATCTTCTTCTTCACGGCCAACTCCTTCTCGGTCGTCGCCTTCTCCACAACCGCAAGCCGCCTTCGCCATCATCCACGGCCGAGTCCACCGCCACAGCCATCTCGTCGAACAATGGATTTAGAAGACTCTTCCAATGGTTTGTAGTAATTAAAATAGTTAAGAGGCAATACTCAATTTTGAAGGAACAATTTACTTAACTGTAGTTTGATTTCCTAAGAATAAAATCATCTACGCTCTCAAACAATTTACCAAGTAAGCCCAAAATTCTTTGCTTTGATCATGGACATATGACGGTTATATTTCTTCTGCTGAGGATGGAACGAAAAGTACAAACATAAACAAATAAATGATTTTGAAGACAAAACAAGAAACTCCTTGTTATTGGTCTTATCTTAGATGAAGCGTTCGAAAATGAAGACAAAACAATAAACTTTGACACTGTTTAACATAGAATGAGTGATTTATCACTATCAATTTGATAAGTCCAATTTCTGAAACCAGTTACACAAGAAAGAAATGTAGTTTATGAAGAGTTTGATGGACAAAATTGTATCGAGCTCTTCACCGTCTATGCTCTCTGCACGGCGTTGCCGACCGTTCCTCTTCGCCATGACTAAGTGGGACTGAAAGAGAAACGACAGAGAGAGATGAGATGAGAGGGTAGTTTGGTCATTTTAGGTGAGGATTAAAATATATCTTCGGACATATTAGACATTTCATGTTTGTGTTTGGCTCAGTTTTTTTAAAATGGGGTGTCATTGTTCAAGTTTACAAACTTATGGAGTGTCTTTGTTAGAAAAATGACTAAGTTGTATATGACTGTTAATATGACAAACTTCAGGAAATATCATTGTAATTAACTCTATTATTATTATTATTTTATGTCAAGTTCTGAGCCTGTTTTGGAATTTTCTTTCGTGGCCTAATTGTTCTTAAATTTGATTAATTATGTTTCTTATTCTCTGTTGTTTTTTGGACAGTATTAACTTCATTGTATTATAAGATTTTTTTTTTTTTTCATTATAACTATGTATAATAAAATCACCAATTCAATTATAAATATAATATCAGATTTCTTTGAAAATTTTCTCTAACTTTGTGAATTCAAGTTGTTTTAGAATATTGATTTTTAGGAGTTGTTCAATGGCGGCATTGGTTCTTCTTGGTCGTGTGAAAAAGGAGCTTTGTAAAAGACTACGACTATGTCGCCAACTCTCTTATTGTCCATCTTTGGTTTCTCCTCCTGTATGGTCTTCTACCTAAACAACAATTTTTTTTCTTTTTTCTAATTTATTTATTCATATTCTCTCTCTTGGCACTCTTCTTTTATTGATTTTGTACCTTTTCTATTTCATTTTTTAACAGCATAACCAAATCAAAATAGGGTGAATAAAGTAAGCACCAACTAGTTATAAAATTACATTGATAACAATCTAAATTTGTCTCAATTGTTTGTCTCTAATAATACTACCTCTTGGGAAGGTGTTAAAATTGTAGCATATGACTATATTAGACACACACACACACACACATATATATATTTCTTTTTATTTTTTTTTGTAAAAATTGTTCTCAAATTGCATATATATATATATATATATATATATATTATTGACAAAAAAATCTACACATTTACTTTGCTCCTTTAAAAACTAATCTTGCAATTTGAGAGTAGAGAAGATACCAACCAATAGAATCCACGACACTCTCCTTCCTTCATTTTCTCAAACTTTGGCAAAAACACACTCCTATGTTGGTGTCAGTTACTGTTGTGAATAATACTATTAAAACTCAATACTCTCCTTTTTTATTTTTGATGAATTTGTGACTTCTTTAATCCTCTTTTGTCTTTCCTCAATAGATATTTTTTATTGTCTTTTAAACATATGTATAGATAAAGAGATATGTTAGACATGTTTTTATAAAATGTAAAAGATGGTTAGCATTAAAGAGACTATGAAAAAAAAAAAAAAAAAAAAAAAAAAAAAAAAAAAAAAACAAAACCTTAAAAATTTATTTAAAGAGTTTAATTCAAATTACCTAATAAAATTCAAAACAAAATGTAAATATTTTGGATGCCATTCAAGTGTCACTAACAAATTACAGTGTAGATAAAAATATATATATATGTATATTTATTTAAAGTATTTATTTACTAATATAAAATATATATATATATATATATATATATATATTTTCACCACTTTCAAATTACCTAATAAAATTAAAATTACCTAAAATTTATTAGGTTGTTTTTAACCCCCTCTCTCTCTATATTAATTGATATAAAAAGAGTTTTTATAAAAAATTAAAAAAATTAAAAAAATTTATTTAAAGTATTTATTTATTAATATAAATTTTTTTATTTTCACCACTTTCAAATTACCTAATAAAATTCAAATTACAAATTACCTAAAAATTTATTATTTTACACAACTCAAACTCTACCAACAATTGTTTTTAACTCCCTTAAAATTTATTTAAAGCTAAAACAAAATATATAAAATAAAATAAAATAAAATAAAAATCTATTAATTAGAGCAAGCCAAAAATAAAAACTTCGATCTTGGCAAAACTTGGATGAGAAGAGAAAGACAATTGATTAGGATTTTTTATTTTTGTATATATAAATTAGATGTACCAATATATAGTACTAAAACTTGGATTGTGAAAAAAATTACCTAAAAATTTATTACTTTACACAACTCAAACTCTACCACCAATTGTTTTTAACTCTCTCTCTATATATATTAATTGATATAAAAAGATTTTTATAAATAAAAATTTATTTAAAGTATTTATTAATATAAAAAAATATTTATTAGGTGATATGAGTTTTTATAAAAAGAGATATTTATTAATTGATATAAAAAGAGTTTTTATAAAAAAAATTCCAAAAAATTTATTTAAAGCTAACGCAAAGTATAAAAAAATATTTATTAATTAGAGCAAGGCAAAAAAAGGCTTGCAAAACTTTGTTTAGACATAGAGAAGAGAGAGACAATTAATTAGAATTTTTTATTTTTGTATAAATTAGATGTATATAGTACTACAAAACTTGGATTGTGAAAAAATAATAAAACAATGCATGAGCAAGACGTAAGATTAATAATAAAACAATGCATGAGCAGGACGTAGATAATGAATTACTGTACCAATGGGGTAGGGGTGACACGTACCTTTAACCTGTATAAATCGTGAAAAAAATAATGAAACAATGCATGATCAAGACATAACTAATGAGTTACTTTACCAATAGGGGTGGGGGTGTCACATACCTTGCAAAAAATAGAAAACTGATAGTGATTAGAGCAAGGCTAAAAAAGGCTTATATACAGAGAGTATAGATTTTTTTAGAAACAAATAGATAAATATGTAATTTGAATTTTATTAGGTAATTTTTAGAGTTTTTTTTTAATAATAGTATAGATTTTTTTAGAAACAAATAGATAAAATAGGTAACTTGAATTTTATTATTAATTTTTAGAGTTTTATAGAAACTCTTTTTATAAAAAATCTTTTTTATATTAATTAATAAATATTTTTTATATATATCTTGTGTTAGAGTTTTTAGTATTTTGTGAATTTATATAAAATAGATTTATTATTTTATTAGGTAATTTGAAAGTGGTGATTGATGTTATTAAGTAATTTTTAGTATTTTGTGTTAGATTGATTCTATTGGAGTTTTATACCGCCCGGAAAGAAGCTTTATTATTATTATTTTTTTAATATTTTGTGTTAGAGTTTTATAGAAAATCTTTTTATATAAACTATTTTTTATATTAATTAATAAATATTTTTTTCAGGTTATATGTGATAGAGTTTTAAAGAAAATAAAATAGGTAATTTGTAGTAGAGTTTTAAATATATTCTTTTCTAATTAGATTTCTTTTTATTAAAAAAACTAATAATAAATAGATAAATAGGTAATATGTGTTAGAGTTTTATAGAAACTCTTTTTAAAAAAAAATTATATCAATTAATAAATATTTTTTATATTAATAATTCTTGTCTAATTAGATTTTCTTTTATTAAAAAACTCATAATAAAGTGGTGATTGATTTTATTAGGTAATTTTTAGTATTTTGTGTTAGATTGATTTTATTAGGTAATTTTTAGTATTTGTTAATTTTGTAAATATTTTTATATATTTTGTTTTAGAGTTTTATAGAAAATAGATATTTTATTAGGTAATTTGAAAGTGGTGTTTGATTTTATTAGATAATTTTTAGTATTTTGTGTTAGACTGATTTTATTAGGTAATTTTTGGTATTTTGTGAGTTTTATAGAAAATAGATTTATTAGGTAATTTGTTATTTGAATTTTATTAGGTAATTAGAAAGTAGTGATTGATTTTATATCAATTAATTTTTTTTATAAATATTTTTTTATATTTTATTTTGTTTTAAATTTTATCAAGTAATTTGTAATTTGAATTAAACTTTTTAAATAAATTTTTCAGTAAATTTTTTTTTATATAAATTCTTTTTATATCAATTAATAACTATTTTTTTATTTTGTGATGAAGGGTCCATTACCTCATTCGATTAGAGTATCATTACTCATGGAATTGGGAGTAGAAAAAAAAAAAATGTGCCAAATTTCTTTTATCATTTTTTTTTTTTTTTTTTTTTTTTGCGTCTTTACGTCTTCTTGGGAGTTCTTTAGTGGCCTACACGGACTAGGTATTATTCTTAAATTTTATAAATAGGCTGTCCTGGTTTGGAATGATTGGATTTTAAAATGGAATGGGATTTTGGTTGGATTCTAAAGAAAATTTGGTAAAGTGAAAAAATCTAAGAAAAATGATAGGATTTGAAATGTAATTAAAAAACTATCCTTTTATTAACTATTTGAATTTTCTAATTCTACAAACCTTCTTTATAACCTATTTGAATTTTCTAATTCTACAAACCTTCTTTATAACTACCATGTCTCTTTATCTCAAACAGGTAAAGAAGTATTTAATTCTATAAACCTTGTTTATAACTACCACTGTCTCTTTATCCCAAACAGTTAAAGAAGTCTCTAATTCTGTAAACCTTCTTTATAACTACCACGTCTCTTTATCCCAAGCTGGTAAAAGGTCTAATTTATTTCAAATTCCATTTTACAACTTGCAGTTTCTTCCCAACATCAAAATATAATTTTATTTAATTACAATCGAATTGCTTTTCTATTTTCAATTTCAAATTCCAAAGGATTTTGGTTTCAAATTGTGATATAAGGTTTTCTTTGCTTATGGTTTATTATTATTATAATTAACAGCATATTATAATTACCAATTCAATTATTAATACAATATCAAATTTCTCTCCAAATTGTGAATTCAAATTGTTTATGGTTGAGAACTTTCATAGCTTCCTTCCAGAGTTGTTCGATGGCTTCATTGGCTCGTGTTGCTCGTGTGAAAAACGAGCTTTGTAGAAGACTACAATGTCGCCAACTCTCTCATCATGTTTATTGTCGATCTTTGCTTTCTCTACATGATCAGTCTCCCATTCAACCAAGCCCTGCCTTGCAATGTCGATGGTCTTCTTCCTCTGCTCCTTCTGGTATTTTCTACATGTCATGTCACTATGTCAGAATTGTCCTAACATTGTTGAGTTTTTTTTTTTTTTTCTAATTTATATCTTGGCATTGCTAAGTACTCTAGTAGTATTACCTCTTGGGGAGGTATTAAAATTGTTGATACCTTCGTTATTTGTTGCATTGTTAATGGTCAAATGTTATTGCTGTGAATAATGCTATTTAAATTTATTAAAGTCAATACATTTTGATTTAATAAATAGAGTTGAGAATTCAAATTTTATTTATTTATTTTTGTGTTTGGCAGCTTATTTGGTAGAGGCTTACCACCCAGTGAGAAAGAGTGAGCTGTTTTTTGTAAGGGGAGGAAGGAGAAGTACAGTGCGTGAGTACAGAACGGTTGCCGGAAGGCCAAAGGCTAAGGCTAAAACTATTATTCAGAGCGGGCAAAGAATAAACGGGGTTGGTTACGATGATATTGGTGGTGTCCGTGAACAGATAGCACAGATTCGGGAGTTGGTGGAGTTTCCATTGAGGCATCCACAGCTCTTTACATCAATTGGTGTGAATCCGCCTAAAGGGATTCTGTTATACGGACCTCCGGGATCCGGAAAGACTTTGATAGCCAGAGCTATTGCTAATCAAACAACTGCTTTCTTCTTGTCCATAAATGGACCAGAGATAGTGTCAAATTTTTATGGAGAGAGCGAAAGAAAACTCAGGAACATATTCGAGGAAGCAGAGAGGAAGGCTCCATCCATTCTCTTTATTGATGAGATTGATTCTGTAACTCCCAACCGAACGAAAACTTATGGGGAAACTGAGAAGAGGCTTGTTTCTCAGTTCTTGACTCTTATGGATGGTCTCAATTCCCTTGCTCGTGTTACTGTCATCGGTGCTACGAATCGTCCCAACACCATTGACCCTGCCTTAAGAAGGTTTGGTAGATTTGATACGGAAATAGAAATTGGTGTTCCAGACACTAATGGGCGTCTTGAGGTTCTTCAAATCCTTGCCAAGAAAATGAAGTTTGCTGAAGATGTAATAATAATACTCAATCAAACACCATTATATATTATGCTTTTATACTAGTACATGTGTGTGTGTATATTGTACGTTTCTCAACTCAACTTAATTGTGCAGGTTGATTTAGAAAGAATTGCCAAAGACTCGCATGGATATGTTGGTGCTGATTTAGCAGGTCTGTGCCATAAGGCTGCACTCCAATGCATAAGAGAGAAGATGGACGTGATTGACTTGGAAGACAAGGTCATAGATGCTAAGATACTCAAATCTATGGCTGTTTCGAATAAGCACTTCCAAACAGCTCTTGGAACAAGCAGACCATCTGCTCTGCGTAACACTGTGTGTGAAATTTCTATATTTGTTCACTGGAGTCTGTAGATACAACTTTTATTGATTATCGGGTTCTAACTTCTAATATTGTTTTGGTGAGCCAGCTTGTTGAACTGCCCAATTGCAGTTGGGAAGATATCGGAGGCCTTGAGAATGTTAAGCGGGAGCTTCAAGAGGTAGTTGCAGTTGCTGGCTGCACACACACACATGCACTCTATGATCGTCTATCCTTGTATTTTCGTTTCTCCCTTCATACCCTCTCTCTCTCTCTTTCATATGTGTAGACTGTTCAATATCCTGTGGAGCATCCTGAGAAGTATAAGAAGTTTGGCATGTCACCCTCAACGGGAGTTCTTTTCTATGGGCCACCAGGATGTGGGAAAACTCTTATGGCCAAGGCGATTGCCGGTGAATGTCAGGCAAACTTTATCAGTGTCAAGGGTCCTGAACTGCTTAGTGTTTGGTTTGGGGAGAGTGAGGCCAACGTTCGAGAAATATTTGAGAAGGCACGGAGATCTGCTCCTTGTGTCCTATTCTTTGATGAACTCGATTCACTTGCTGTCCAGGTCTGAATTATTGTTTTCTCTACTCTAAAAATGTGGTTGCCATGGTTTGTGCTTTCCCGGCTTACATTGTTTCTTCTGTATTCCTTGTAGAGGGGAGAATATAAAGGCTGTGGTGTTTCTGATAGGGTTTTGAATCAAATCCTGACTGAAATGGATGGAATGTCCGCCAAGAAAACTGTTTTCGTTATTGGAGCCACAAACAGGCCTGATGTTATTGATCCTGCACTTTTGCGGCCTGGCCGTCTTGATCAATTGATTTATATCCCTTTGCCTGATGAGGATTCTCGCCATCAGATTTTCAAGGCTTGCCTTAAGAAATCTCCACTTTCCAAAGATGTAGACCTGAGAGCCCTTGCTAAGACCACCCAAGGCTTCAGTGGTGCCGATATTACGGAAATATGCCAACGTGCCTGCAAATATGCCATAAGGGAGGACATCGAGAAGGTAAACTTCTGTATTAGTTCTTCATTTAATGCTGATCCCACCCCCGCACATCCCACTCTTCCCAGCAACCCATAAATTTTCACTTTTCATTTTGCAGGATTTCGAGAGGGAGAGGAGAAGGAAGAATCCTGAGGCTATGGAGGATGTAGAAGATGAGGTGGCTGAGATCAAGGTTGCTCATTTTGAGGAATCAATGAAGGTTGCACGTAGGAGTGTGAGTGATGCTGAAATTCAAAAGTACCAGGCATTTGCTCAAACATTGCAGCGCTCTGGAGTTTTCAGTACCGAAAACTGACCCGTTGCAGCCTCTGATGATGCCGGTGGGACTGAAGAAGATGACATACATTGGTTAGGTTATTCATACAGGCATTTTCTTTTCTTTTTGCGTCGATGCAATTGTTGACTTCCCTGTATCATGGGGTAAAAGCCTTCAAGAGATTATGATGATCAAACAACTCAGGGCTTCTGGTTTTTGGCCAGTGCTCCTGGTTCCAGTTTAAAGTTCTAAAAAGTGTTTGTTGTCCTGAGGATTATCATGGATGTGTGCAAATTATTTATCAAAGTTAAAGTTCAGTGATCTGAGTTTATGTTTCCTAGTTTTCAATGTATGTTTCATCTTTTTTAATGCAACAATAAAGCCATGAATAAAACAGTCTAAAAGTACAATGCATATCCACTACATTAAGAGTTTAAAAATCATCAGGTACACTAATCATTGAGGTTTTGCATTGCAACTAGTATCTTACATGAATCAAGGAGACAGAGAGAGAGGAAACCATTCTGGCTGACTCTATAATTGAACAATAAAGAAATGTAATAATGTTGCTTGTGAGTACTCAGAGACACATCCTTCATACCTGTACGAAAGCTTCGTTGCACACCATGAAGAATGTACCTACCTGCCATTTGCTCTCAGTTAGAGAATCAGCATCTCTTTCGTGCCCACATAACCAACCATCTACTTCCTCCGATTCTCCACTTTACAATCCTTTTATTTGCCTCAGCGCCTCAAAAGTATCCACAGCAAAATTTTACACAACACAGCAAATAGGATAAAAGAGTGGTTCTATATATATACTTGTTGGTATGATGGCACTATTTTGTACGCCATTTATTGCGACCATATAAAAGTTCGTTAGAATTGCTATTCAAGCTTTCTCCAATTACCCAAAAATCTCATCAAGACAATTTTTGTTCATAGTCACTGCAATCAGCATGTCCTTGCAAGCTTTGATGACCACATACGTACAAGCCAACTGCTTTCTCCAATCTTTATATCCATGAGACTTCTCTTGCCTTGTGTTTTGGTTTCCAATGAACTTTCCACTGGCACCAAACTCCTTACTGGTGGCTGAGGACTTCCCCTCTCCGTTGATGGATCCATAATCTGATTCACCATTTCCAGCACTTCACTCATATTTGGGCGTGACTTAGGATATCTGACCAGGCACCGGTTGGCAACAATCGCTAGCTTTTGAGCTGACTTGAGGGAATATTTACCTTCAAGCCTTGGGTCCAATATCATCTGAAACTTCTTCCTGTCCGATAGATATGGCTTTACCCATTCCAAAAGTTTCTGCTCACTCTTTGGGCGGTTTTTGTCCAAGGGGCGCCTACCGGTTATGAGTTCATAAAGGAAGACTCCGTAGCTCCATACATCATTCTTGTATGTGAGACGTCCGGTTTGGATGTATTCAGGAGCTGCATATCCCAAGGTTCCCACAACCTGATAAATATTTATCAAATCAATTGTCAGAAGTTGACGCATCAGGTAAGAAAACACAAAAAGGAAGAAAAGGATTTTCATATCATCTGTAATGAATATGTTTTGTCTAACTTTAAATAATTTTTAAAGTTGTGTTTCATAATTAACCTGTTTTGTATTCCTCAAGGCTCTGCTTAGCTTGCCAAATTTTGAGGCAAAAATAAAGGGAGAGGAAATGGAAACACAATTTCCTTCATGTTTTCTATCTTAAAGAGAGTTGGAAATAAATAATAAATAAGTAAATTAAGAAAATGGAAGAGAAATAATATGTAAAATTAAAATTTTGCTCCCATAATTTCTTTTCCACACTAAATATGTGAACCAAATGGGGCCTAAATGACATCCAAAGCTATTTTTGGACATCTCAGACAAATTGAATCAGCGCGTTTGTTAACCCACAACATCAAGCTAATATTGTGGTGACCTATGTGGGCGGGTGTACGTGGGTAGGTGCGAGGTACTAGCAGGCTACCATACTGGACGAGCTACAAGTACACAATCCCACATCGCCTGGGTGTGGAAAAGGCAAGTGATATATGTAAATTCAACACATTTCTATAATACAACGTATTTTAAAGCCGTGATGGCCGTGAACCTACAAGAACTCCGGAATTAAGTGTTTTTAACCTGGAGTAATACTAGGATGGGTGACCTCCTAGGAAGTCTCTAGTCTGGGGGAGCCAAAAGCAGACATAATAGTAGTACCAGGATAGGTGACCCCTGGGAAGTCTCTGATCTGGGGGAGCCAAAAGCGGACAATATTATATCTGGATAGGGTAAGGGTTGTTACAAATGATATCAGAGCCTGACCCAACTAAAAGTGTAGCCAACGGGAATATTGAGCCCCAAAAGGGGGTGATTGTGGTGACCTATGTGGGCCGGTTGCGTGGGAAGGTGTGAGGCACTGACAGGCTACCACACTAGGTGAGTTATAGGTACACAATCCCACATCGTCCGAGTGTGGAAAAGGCAAGTGCTATATGCAGAATTGTACATTCAACACCTTTTTATGACACAACGTGTTTTAAAGTCGTGATGGCCGTGAACCCATCAGAACTCCGTACTTAAGTGTACTTAACTTGAAGTAGTACCAGGATAGGTGACCCCCTGAGAAGTCCGGGCGAGCCAAAACCAGCCAATATTGTGTTTGGATAGGGTAAGGGTTGTTACAAATACCAAAGTAAAAAAATAATTAAAAATAAAAAATAAAAATAGGTGTTGAGTAAAATGAATAACTCATTTAATTGCAATCAAAATTTATACCAAATCACAATGATGCAATTGATTGAAACTAGATTCATGGGTGGTCTAAATTGCCCCGTTGTGCAGTGATTTGGGGGGCGGCTCCATATTTTTTTTTTGGTTAGGTTGGGTTAGTTCCATCAAAGGACTCAGCAGGCTCAGATCGTGTGGTCTGCTGGATTTTGTACAACGCAAATATTTCATGTCCCTAAACTTGAACACCAACTTCATGTGGTTACTGATCATAGATGGTGATAGAAGTGCAGAAAATCTGGAATGCAAGGCCTAACTCTATAAGCGCAGGCTTGTTTATAAAAACCAAAAGCCAATGATTAATAGGTCCCTCCATAGAACTCTACCTTGAGGATGATTATTAACTTTTGTACCATGAGATTTCACCCTCGTGGATATGTTTCAAAAAAGTATCGAATTCTAAGATCATACAGTCTAATATAGCTAAAGGAGGTGACAGAATAAGACAGTGCAGACCACAGTGCTTGCAGTTCACAAAAGAATAACTGCGAAAGGAAAAGGGAAGACACGAATTTGAAATCACGACTTATGAATTCCCACCTAAAATTTCAAGATCATCAGATATAGGTCAAATAAACTAGAATGTGGACATCTATTATACCGCATTAATTTATGACCCATGCCAATACTTAGAAATATATGCCCAAAAAACAAATTCTAGTTTGATAATTAGGATTAACAGAATTTATTTGTAATCAGCTATCTATTAGGTAAAAAACACTCGCTTTTAGGGTTGTCAGTTTGGAATTTTGATCAACCATATCTTAGGTAAAACAGTGGAGTTGTGATCTACATGTCCCATTCTCACATGATCTCAACGCACAGATGTAGAATGCTGAATATGATCTCAACTTATATGCACAGAGGTGAAATGCATCCAAATACAGCATATCTAGTGATAGTAAGAGAATTTTGTATGCACATACTGCGGTTGAGACATGGGTCTGTCCTTCCGGAGGGCCCAATCTAGCCAATCCAAAGTCTGATAGCTTCGAATTCCATTGCTCATCTAGGAGAATGTTTGAAGATTTGAAATCTCTAAAGATGATCTACAATAATTTATTACAAATGTCAGTATGATGAAAGACAGCACACTCATGAGTCATGACATACAATGTAAAGCCAATAATGCATAATGCAGTGCAAGTTCTGTGTGTGTGTGTGAGAGAGAGAGAGAGAGAGAGTCTATTATATGTCATATGCTTGCTCTCATTGGCAATAATTTGCAATATGAAAAAGTAAAAGGCAATCATTATTACCTATTTCTAGCACCAAAATAGAGAGAGAGATTTCCGAATGACATGGAATTAAAAACGAAATAATATACAATACCTGAAAATCCATTCCTTCATGGAGATATGCTAAGCCACGAGCAGCATCTTGCGCTATTTTGAGTCTCATGGCCCATGAAAGAGATGTCTCTGATCGAGTAGATAAATGGTCCTCCACACTTCCGTTAGGCATGTATTCATAAATCAGAAGCCGCTGGATTCCTCTTTCGTCGTCCTCCGTGCAGTAGCCTAGTAGTTTGACAAGATTTGGATGCTCAACCACCCCAAGAACATCCACTTCTGTCGCCCACTCCTTGTGCCCCTGCCACACAAAAGGTGGGAGCTAGTATGAGAAATTATACGAACACAAGAGGTTGAATTCCCTACTTTCTGAACCATTAAAGATTAACTTATTAACCAATTATATCTAGATCAATAAATAGGCTTATCAACATGAAACTACTTTAATAAGCAATCTCTAACTAACAACAACGAAGAACAACCTCATGCAGGGTCACAGGAAATGGATCCACCTCACTCTTCACGATAAATAATATAGTCCAGAGTTGTAATATTCTAAATCTGGTTCTTTGGCCAAAAGAGATAGAAGATATGTTCCCTTGGCTTGGAAGTCTGTAAGTACTGCACCGTTTCATGTCATTGCCATGTGGACAGTCAGTTGCAACATCAGGATTACACTGATTCTGAGCTCGTTTATGAGTCTTCAGGAAGAACCTTATTTGGTGCTTTATCTTTTTATTGAACTGATTTGATTATGCTTGCTGCACACGCTTAAGAATTTATGTATATTTCTCACTCCAAGGGTCTAATTTCATTATGAATTAAATATTAGTTACTATTGATTTTTACAAAAAGTACGGTCATGTATTAACTAAAGGTGAGTCCAATAAATGAGTTGCAGTTTGTGTAGGAGCATGCTTTTGATTTATCTCTCATTGATTGCTGAAAAATTGAAGGTAGATCATTAATAAAAGGAATATGATTTGTTGGCCAATCATGTAGGCCAAGTTGTTGCTCTGAACGGATGACAGCCACATGATGCATTGATATGGGGCCAACATCAATTCATCAGACACTTTTCATCCGTTTGGCCCAGCAATTCAACCTACCTGGTCAGCCTAAATAGTATGACTCTCAATACAATAGTCTCTCTATCTTGTCTTCCTCTTCACTTGTGTTGTTTGGAACTTTCCACTCCTCTGCTTTTCTACTTTTTTTCCCTCATCAACTAGTTTTAATTTGAATCTGAAAATACCTTGCTTGGCCAATCATTTCATTAACCACTAAAACCATTAGGATGAACTATTAGTCGTATGTATGTATGGATAAGATTGTTGTCCCATGTGTCATGGATCTCGCTGAAATATGTGTTCAGTTATAATAATTATAATTCCTCTTCGGCAATCTAAAAATTACACTCTTTGACCACAAAGTTTAACATGCAGATACATGCACACGAGCACACATACATGCAACCTACACACACACAAACAACGCTTCAAACAAATTTGAAGATAGAGAGGGACATTTTAATAAATTACTCGAAGCATATAGCAGAATATATTGTCCATGTATCTTTTTTCTTTGTTGTTTGTTGGATTGAGTCATATTGGATCCCCAAACACAAAACTTCGACTGCCTGTTTGATGAATTCTGGGACTTGAATGTTCAAGGAAACCAACTCCTAAACATATGCCAACAACCAATAACCACACTTCAATTAGTAACGTAAAATGCCCCATGTCATAAGTCATGCCATTGATCATTCTTACTTCTAGATTCTTCTAAGGAAATAGTCACAAAACAAGTAGCATTTCCATTTCTATACTTACTGAACTAGAACATAAGAATAAAGAGAAAGAGAGAGAGCAAAGGAAACCTTGCCTGCAAGCCTCTTCTACTTAATTGTTTCACCGCAACATCAAGTTTCTGAAGCGGATCTTCGGAACACTTGACCACACCCTTATACACACACCCAAAACCACCCTCTCCAAGTTTGGTAGTCCGGCTGAAGTTCTTTGTGGCCGTCTTCAGCTCCGAAAATGTAAACACTCTGAGATTACTTGGCCTCTGAGACAAACTCGGAAACTGACTCCTGCCGGTGGACTCTATGCTAGTGTCTGAGATATTCTGTGAATTAAATTCAGACCCAGATTTCCTCATTTCAAGTTCAGTAGAATTGAAGGACTGAACCGATCTAGACTTTGTGTGCTTCAGTTCATCCTTCTTTTCTCCGTTGGAGAACTGAAAACACTTCATAGCCTCCAATAAATTACAAACCCTCACTGCAGATTCAGATATAAAAAAGACGGCATCAAAACCCTAAATCCATCAAAATATCAAGAAATCGGACATCACATAAAGTTAAGAAGCACAGGTAGCTAAAATGTAATACTATCCAAGTTAAATTAAGATTTTATAACCAGAGCATCATAATGCTAGAATAGCAAGTAATTTGAAAGACATTCAAGCATGTAACATTTTACACACATAATAAAAATCCAAACTTGAAGCAATAAGCTCCCAATAATGGGGGCTCATATATAAATAGCCAAAGACATAAAAATCCACCTAACCCCATATATATATATATATATATATATATATATTTTGATAAGCACCTAACCCCATATATTCAACAGCCCCATGTTCCTTGTAATGGATTTTAGACATCAAAAGTCAAGAATATTGAAACCAAATAAACTCCTATTTTTTCTTTTGAAACCTGCATAATTTCAAATTAAGATGTTCCAAAAACACACGCACAATAAGATTAAGATCCATTCCTACAAACAAGGTGTGTGTATATTAATCTGCCAGGTCCATAATAAGAAACTAAATTGAGAATTTACTTTATATCAGAATCTAAGAAAACTCACCTCTAAGCTTCTCAATCGGATTGCTTAAATCTGGATGTTTAACATCCACAGCTTATAAAATCCCAATTATTGGGGAGTTGTGAGAAAAACCCAGTTAGCCAAAAGAGACCTCAAAGGCAAAAAGAGAAGGATATTTTCACAATCCAAAAGGAACGTCAGCTCACCAACCAAATGGAAAAAGAGCCCATAGAAAATTTTATACACACGGATATATGATTGAGACAACATTAAGTTCGAGGCGAGTGTGAAGGCGGCATTTGAATTGAAAAATGAGACCCAGTGGGACAGCCTCTAGAGAGAGAGAGTGCCTGTATTGTTAGAGAGAGAGAGAGCAAATGAAAGATGCCATGTCCGGACGAAAAGTCTTCCGTGAAGAGTGATAATGGGTCTGGGTCAGTCATGGAGGTCGAGAAAGAATTTCGTAACCAATAAAGAAACTTATCCATCCCTTCAATTTTTGTTCCACGTATGAATGGATCAGCCGTTTGAATGTGTGTATGTGTGTATATATATATATATAGTGTAAAGAAATGACAAATTGCAAAATACTTCTACAACAATTTTTCAGTAAATATGAATGTTGTTTTTACTCTTGGTTACCTAAATTGCGTCAGGAAAGGAATAATTAAAATGTTAAGAATGACATATGTTATACGTCGGTTGACCCATTTGTTGGTACGTGATTAGGACATCACGCTAATTGTATTGACTGACTCAAGAACCTTCCCCTCTCCATGACTGGATCTTCAATTCCCTTTAATGTCATCCAGTCTCAGTCGGCATCATCATCTCACCACGCTAATTACGTCCGCATTATGAGTGGTTTGATATCATTATTTATCATATATATATATATATATATATATATATATATGTATATATTACTATTGATACATTATTTGATAACAAAAAAATATTTGTCTAATTTTAAAAACAATAAACAGAAAAATATGTTTGTTAATAATCTTAGGCTGATTTTAAAAAATCAGCACCAGTTTTAAATAAATAATAAAAGTATTTATGAAGAGTCTAATTATTTCTTATTTATAATGATTTTCAGGTAATAAATTTTTACTCTACTCAAAAAAATAAAAAAATAAAAATTAGAAAGATACACACGAAATGTAATAATGAAGCTTTGGATTTCCTCTTTTGGCTTGATATGCAAAGATAAGTTTATTGTTTGACTCACTTTCTTTCTAATTAATATAAGCAGTGTACTTTGTTTAGTATATGATGTTTAGTATTTTGTCTCATGTGTTTGACAGTGTTATCATAGGACAACTAGAGGTTGAGGACAAACAACATCTAAATCTCCTAAGAAGGTTACCACAACCGTAATAAATGGGATGCTCGCAAGAAAAGTACTGATCTTTAGCGAAATGTATGACCTATTGGTTATCTAAAGTCATAGATGATGGCAGTGGCGTAGTCAGAAATTTCTTTCAGTTGGAGTAATTTTTAATAATAATAATATATATATATATATATATTATTGTTGTTAAAAATTACCCCCATTGAAAAAAAATTTTGACTTATTTGAACCAAAATAATATATGTAAAAATTAAACAATACTAAATATTTCAGATTATTTTTCATATTTTGAAAGCACGCAGTCGAATTTTCAAAATGTTCACGGCATAATAATAATAAATTTAGATGATAAAAAAATATATATCAGATTACTTATCTCTACACTGCAGTATTTGTTTGGATTTTATGAATTTTTGAAATATTGAAAACTCGCCGAAAGGGAAATGTTGAAGATCGAAAATGTAATGGAAATTAACAACGCATTTGTTTGTGATAAAGTCAAAAGTGTAAAAGAATATCTTCTATTTTTAGAAAAAGTGGGAAAAAATATAATATTTTGAGAAAGTGGAAACAAAATATCATATGTTTTGAAAATATTATATTCCTTTTTTTTTTTTTTTAATATAATACCGTGAATGGTCATTTGCTTATATATATATATATATATATATGTACAATGTCAACTTTTAGTGGGGACAATTATATAAATATAAAAATCTTTTCATATAAAATTAAAAAAAATTAAAAATTCAGTGGGGGCAGCTGCCCCCACTTGTCCCTATTTGGCTACGCCATTGGATGATGATATTTGTTTAACTCTTTCTTTGTTTTTTTCATATTTGGGAAAAAAATTTGACATAAACATAAATACATAAACTTTGTTTTAATATTTATAAAATTGAGGTGTGTCAATAGTAATTATATAAGTAAATTTATATAATTGATAAACAAAACAATATTAACAAACATATTTTTAAAAAAAATATGTTTATACAAATAATAAATTATAAACTGCCAACTCTTTGAAGGAATGTATTCGTGTTGGATTCCTTCCGTTTTGGAACTTAGCCAGAGAGTAAAATAGAAAAAACAAAAAAACAAAACAAATTCAAGTGATTGAGTTTAAAGTGCTGAATGGTTCTCTCTTTTGTCTCTTATACTCGCATTTAAAAAAAAAAAAAAGTAATAAAAGGAGCTTAATTAATCAAAAACAGCTTTCCCAAAAAAAACATCTTCTCCTTTGCTATTTATTTATTATTTTTTTGTTTCGTCTGGCTTGTTTGACTTTTCTATTAAAAAAAATTTCAAAAAGCTTTTGATAGTAGAATTGTGGCGGTAAAAAATATGTTAAGTATTTAGTAACACATTTATATAGAGTATTTTTTATAATTAAAATATTTTTTAATCTATTTAGTAATAATATTTGGTTAAAATAATTATATTACTAATTTTACAATAATATTATTTAATTAAAATATTTTTATATTTGATAATAACAACTTTATGAAAGAAGAGATGAAGTTATCTTTTAAAATATATGAACACCATCTATTAAAAGTGTTTTTGGTGATTATTAAACACATCTAAACATGAATTTTAAAAATAAAAGTATTTTTAAATAGTTGAAAAGCAAAACAATTCCAAATGCGAGATTACTCCTTTTTCTTCATTTTTTTTTCCCCTTTATTCTACAAACAATAGAATAATTAATCCTTCTATCTTGTTATTAAGTAAAATCATCCTTATTTTTCATTATAATTTTTTTTCTTTAATAAAAGAATGACATTGTCACATGATTCACGCCACAGTAATTGCAAAACTCCTAGACCATTTTCGATGGATTGTAAAAATCAATGTGGTGTAAAGTTTAATAAAGATTTTTTTTTTTTTTTTTTTTTTTTTTTTTTTCACACTTAACTATTTAGCCTATTTGGAAAAGCTTGTCAACAATTAAAAAGTGCTTTTAGGTGTGTTTAGTAATTATTAAAAGCACTTTTAATAATTACTATTTATAATTTAGTAATTTTTTTTTAATGAAACTAAAATATAGAACTTTTAAAATTGCTTTGGGTTGATGTTATACATTTCAAGTAACTGTTTTTTCTTAGAAAATTTTGTCAAAATTTTTTTTTTTAATGTTTTATAAAGACCATTTCACCTTTTTTTTTTTTTTTTTAATTAAGTTATTATTATTAAATATAATAACATAGTATTAAAGGATGCAATTGTAAAATTAGAATTAGATATATTTTTAAAATTTTCATTACCAAACAAATTAAAAATAATTTAATTGTAAAACGTATACTCTATAAAACGTGTTACTAAACACTTATATATATTAATAAAAAGATATATATATATATATACTCACAAAAGTTTTTTCAATTTTTTGGAAAAATTATATTTTGGTAATCAAAATTAAACATAATTGTTCTATAATGACTTTAAAGTCAAGAAAAGGTAAATAGTAACAAATGTTGAAACTTAATTGATATTAAGAGACTAATTCTTACCTGCTTTGTTTCAGTGTTTTTGTTGCAAGTTGGGTACTGTAGCTAAAAAAGTGGTTTGCAACATGTTTGGTAGTGGGCTGATTGTTTTGCATAGTATCAAAACATTTCATAAATTAGGCCCAAAAATTGAAACAAGAAATTGGTGTTTTTGGATGTTTCAATACTGTAGCGGGCCCAACACAATTGTAGCGGTCAAAACAAAATTAAACTACTTGCAACATTTTGGCCCACGTGTAAAAGCAAAAGTTAAAATATTTGCAACATTTTGGCCCACGTGTAAAAGCAAAAGTTAAAATATTGTAGTCCATTTGGCCCAAAATTTTCTCTCTCCTATGAAGCCCTAAGCGCTGGCGATTTTGGAGGCGACCTGCGATATGGGAAGAAGAGGCTCAATTCATAGTAGTGTAAGCCTTTGAAACCCTAGACGTTCGATTTAATGTTTTTTAAAGTGTTCTTTGGTTTTGATTTGTTCAATTTTGTCTTCGTGAACAGAGGGTGTTGATCTCATCAACTCATCGATCACCTAGAAATAACTTCTCGCCTTCTTCTCTGCTCAAGGTCTGTCCCCTGGAACCGCCGACGCCGACGTTCTCATCGTCGACTGCAAGCTCTCCAAACTCTGAACCAAGCGTGTGTTAGCCTTAGCCCTTACCATTTTACAGCGTTTTTGTTTTTTTTTTTTTGCTGAGTTAGTCTTGATTCTTGAAATTAGTCCAAAAGAGTTCTTGAAATTAGTTCAAAAGAATTGAAATTATAGTTTAAGTGTTGGGAAATTCCTCTGTTTGGTTGCTGAGAAAATATTTGCAATAAGATAAATAAAAAAAATTAATCTATTTATCCACTAAGTTTTTTAATCTATTTAATCCTACTTAAATAGGAGGAAACCGAATGGAATTGAAATCTTTGCAATAAGATAAACAAAGTTTTAGGCTTTCTTTATCCTATTGTAAATAGAGGAAGTGGAATGAAATTGAAATATTTGTTTGCATTAATTTTTTTTTTTAATATATATATATGGTATCATGTTATTGTAATATAGGGGAATTTACTTTTTCCCTGTTTTTGAGGGAGAATGTTTGCAAAGAAAAGAAATTAGTAAAATTTTGATTTATAGTATGCGAATCTCAAACTGACACTTGACATTGATATAGTGTATGTAACACATTGCCAAAAACATGCACTCTAATGATTGGAACATATATACATATGCAAGGTTTTTGTTTGTGTGTGTGTGAGAGAGAGTAAGTTTACATAAGACCCATTGTGCCAAAATGAGACTCAAACCCTTAACCTCCACCTGGGAAGGATGAGGGGATACAACTTGAGCTTAAGACTCAATGGTGTGTTTATATTTACATTTTTAATGTTAATGAACTCAGTAACTTGGTTGGATAAAATTTGATGTGAGAGCGAAGTGAGAAGAAAGAGAAGACAAAGTATGATATAGAATGCTGACACGTCAGTTGTTAAATCTGCTAGTGTATACCCATTATTGGGAAATTGGAAAGAGTTGCAGATGGGTTTGGTAATTAATAGATTAAATAACAATGGTATTTAATGTATTAAACAACAAAGAAAACCTATAAGTATAATACAAATTACATAAAAACATCTAATGTGAAGAGCTTCCTAAAAGCTTATTTCAAGGTGTAATTGAATTTCTTAAGTGAAGCATGCTTAAAGATAGTTCTCATAGTGTCATTGTTGTTTGGTTGCCTTTCATATCAAAAATTATTATACTGAAAATTTGTTGTATAGAAGACCAAATAGTGCCATCTTTGCTACAAAATAGATTTAATGCTTTTTCTACCAGAAACTCCATGGTTCTGTTCTTATTTAGGAATTTCAGGTCTTGAGAGTGATTTAAAGTTTGACAATCCTCTTAATCTTAGTTTGAAGACATTAGACAAAATGAGAAATATAGAAGCACTAATACTTAATTTTCTTGCTAATTTAGAAATTATTTATATGAATTGTGTAGTGCAATCGAGGTAGATTTAGTGGGATAATTCACCACTTTTGGGTACTATCAAATGGCTCTATTAGCAGGTTTCAAGAGTAATTGAGGTAGATTAAGAAACTTGTTCCTTTTGAAAATTTATTATTATTAAGAACAGATAAAAGATCTAACAAAAGAGGTGTAAGATTAGGAATCATGGCATGGACCACATGGCCAAGGTAATAAAGGGACGACACTGCGTACTAATAGAGAGAAATTGAGGGCCTGTTTGAATGCCATGTAAAATGTGATTGTGGCCATCCAAATTCAAGGGACAGTCAATCAGATTACCTGTTGGTTCTAAGGTTGCCTTATGGGGATTTTCTTGTTTGATCTTTTAATACTTGGAGAATATCTTGTCATTAGTTTCATCATTCCACCTCTAACATTGTGATTTTATTCATTAATTATTTATACTTGTTCAAATGCTTCATAACCAGTGAAAATGGAAGAGAATATTACAAAATGGTGGCATTTATCATAGTTGGTATAATTCATTGTTGTCATAACTTTATGTGGACAATTGGGTAATATTGTTGTGCTCCTCTTTTGCATATGGTTGCTGTTGTGTAATGGGACTACTATAATCAAATTCATTTTGAGGTCATCTTCTCAAAATACTAAGAAAGCTTCCATACTGCAAGTTTCTAAAAATAGATGATGCATTTTGGTTGAAGAAAAGTCTTTGCTATTGTTGTGTATCGAGGATGCTATCTCAAGTTTTTCATCCTTGTATTTCCATAGCTAAAGACCTCATAAATGGCATTCTGGATTCTGCTCAGCTGTATCATCCTTGTAATCTTCATTCTGTATTTCTAGCGTCATCCTTGTGATCAATGAGGCTAGCTCACTTGTATCATCTTTGTAATCTTCAAAAATGGCATTTTACATTATGTATTTTCACTACTCAGTTGTATCATCCTTGTAATATTCAGTTGTATAACTCATTAGAATTATGCATTTTGCTCTCTCCACATTGTCTGTAAGTGATTATTTACCTTTAGAGCTTTGTTGTTAGTAAATATATTAGAACAGGTGGTTATTATTTACCTTCATAGCATTGATGTTATTACCTTGGTATAATTGTAAAACAGGTGGTTGCAACTTAGTGTTTTGAATACTGTCTTTGCATATTTCAACTTGTACTAATTCTTGTATTTCATCACTTTAAGAAGGCTAAAAAAACTGTAAATGACTTGCAAGTTTAATAAATTTGTTGGTTGAATATTTAAGCACTTGTAAATGGTATACCCTTTATTCCACTTATGCTTGCAGGTGGGTTTTGTTTTTATTTTTGATGTTGTGTTCGACTATACAGGTAATAGGATAACAAAATTAAAGCAAGTTATTGCAAACAACTTGTTAATAGGCTATTGCAAAAATTTATATATATATATATATATATATATATATATATATATATATATATATATATGTTTGTGTGTTTAAATTTCTCCACATCTATTAAAAATATGATAATTTATATAAAAATAAATTTATAAATATACTTAAGTTTATAAAACAAATTAAAAACAATGATAACTAAATATGTTTTTTTTGTTTCTATTTTTTTTTTTTTGGGTAACAATTGGAGTGATCAAGCATGTTTTGTTTTCAAAATTCTCGAAACGCATGACCAACCAAACATGTTTTGTATGTTTCTGTTTTCCAAACTTTCACAGTAAAACATCATTCCCAAACGTGCTTCTAATTTTTTTCCAAAACACTCTAAAACAAAAACACTGTTTCTGTTTTAGTCAAAAACAAAACGCATGCCAAACGGGTACCATTTGATGGTTTATTACTTTAAAAGATATCTTTTTATTAATCATAGATATATATATATATATATATATACTCACAAAAGTTTTTTTAATCTTTCGTTCCAACAACAACTACGCTAATTGCGAATAAAAATGTCCCGTCTCATAAACGTAACTAAGTAACTTTGATATTTAAAACTCTTAGACGAGAATAATCACGGCTTCATGGTTTATTATTTTATTGTAATTTCCAAAAATAAAGTGTAATATTCACGGCTTATAGTGTTTTTTTTTTGCCTTTTTTTGTTTTCGTTGGAGCACACAATTTGTTGTTTCCTTCAATTTCGCCATTTTTCACTCCCCGCCATTTCTTCATCCAAAAATTTTTGAGGTCCTTCCAAACCCTAGCTCTATCACAGCTCATATCACAAAAACGTTTGATCAAAAGCTATTGGGTTTTCCAAAAGCTGAAACCTCTTGAATTGGCCACCAATACCAGTTAAACAACCTCCATTGTTGTTTTTTTCCCCAAATTACAGAGCTTGCTTTTCAATGTACTCGAACCTCATCCATCAATGCCATGGTTGATCACCGTTGGCTAACGTAAATTCGGAAGAAAACCCATTAATTAGTATTTTGAGAGACATATTTATCGTCTGTGTATTGGGTGATTCTTGCTCCGTCTCTATATATATGTATGTGTATTGTATATATGGGATTTTGGAGATTTTAAGTGATTGAAATGAGGGAACCTAAGAAGATAAATGCCTCTTGGGTTCCAACTGCGTCATTGATTTCAGTTCTTGTTCTGGGTTTTTTGCCGTGTGTTCGGTGTGTGAATGGGGGTGCTGATACTGAGATTGGCGATAATTCAACTTTGACACAGATTATTGACAAAAAGATGCAAAGTGTCACCTTGAAGTTCACAAAAAAAGTCGAGGATAAATTGGGTTTCTGCATAAGCGACGTGTAAGTGAAATGTTCATTGTTTTGCTTTGTTTTGTTTTTTTTTTTTTTTTTTTTTAAATGCTTCATTATTACGGTTCTTGTTTGTCTTCCAGGGAAAAGGAATGGGATCGAGCGTTCAATTATTCGAAAAATTTGGACTTCGTGCAGAATTGTATCCTGCAGATAAAAGGTACTTGCATTTTCCATGGAAACTATTTAGTGCTTTAATCTTAAAGGTATGCACCAATTGTTGAATCATGCATATGGAACATTAAGTGCGGAAAAGAATAGTTTTTATTGTGGAATAAATCGGCAAAAGAGCAACTAATGCTTTTGATAAGAAAACAAAGACACTCGATTTTCCGAAAAAAAAAAAACGAAGACACCTCTTATTGAACTGTATAACTTGAAAACACTACAATTGTAACCAAAAATATTTCATTCAACACCCTTCCAGTTCACCTCTTGGTGGGTGATGGTTGGGGGAACCATTCTATTTTCTTATTGCATTCCTCAAGTATAGGTGCTAAGATATACCTAGCTGGCTGGCTACTAAAATAGAATTTAGAACTGAAGGGCCATAAAGTTTGCAGCGAAAAGAACTTGGAGGCGTGTCTATAAACATTTCATATTTTTTATTCATCCAAGTTTTCCTCCTGCGTAGGTAATTTTACTTCAGTCATGTTTCTCTCCTAGTTCCTGACTGCAAGTGTGGCTCAATCAACAGGAGATCTCGCCAAGAGACTATGTACTGCATCGGAAATAAAGTTTTACTTCGAGAGTTTCTTAGAGAGGGCATCATTAGATGCCCCTGAGGCAAAACCCAACAAGAATTGCAATTTGACCTCATGGGTCCCTGGATGTCTGCCAGGATGGGCTTCTGGTCTCAATTCAGCTGATGAGAAGGTTGATCTCACAAACTCTTCAAGGGACATGCCTGCTAGGACAAATGACAGTCAACCTTGTTGTGAGGGTTTTTTTTGTCCGCAGGGTATTACTTGCATGATACGTAAGTGTGTTGCAATACATCGTCATTGATGTTTGGAATTAATGAAGGCTTATTTTTGCTACATCTTGGCAATCCATGCTTTTGGTGCTTTTATATATCTGTTTACTGACTAAGTTTTGTATAGGTTAAATCTATTTGTTTATTTATATAGGCGGGTAGAAAACATCATTTGCATAAAGCAAGTGTGGTAGAAATGCGAATGTTGAGATGGATGTGCAGTGAGACTAGAAAGGATAGAATTATAAATGATCATATTCGGGAGATGGTTGGAGTAGCACCAATTGGAGATAAAATGAGAGAAAATCGGTTAAGATGGCTTGGGCATATGCAAAGAAGACCTTTAAGTGCACTGCTTAGGAAAAGTGACATAGTCCACATCGAGGGTAATACTAGCCTTACTAGGGGAAGAGGGAGACCAAAATTAATGTGGGTACAGTTAGTAAAGAAAGATATGATAGCATGCAGATTGACTAAGGCTATGGCCCTAAATAGAGCGGAATGGAAACATAGGATTCATGTAGCCGACCCCAGGTAATTGCGAAAAGGCTTGGTTGTTGTTGTTGTATATAGGCGGGTAGCTGGCTGCACTTTATTGCCACTGTATCCATTGCTTTAATCATATGGCGAGAAAAGGTTTCAGGAGCTAGAGTATATTAGGACTTGTGTTCAATATCTTTCCAAAATTGGAACTTGGCCTAAATTATGAAATATGAATCATTTGTACATTGATATTGTTTTTATGCAGGCAAGTACTATGTTCTTCTAAAAAAAGGTGTATAGAGAGATATTTTAGCTGAACAGGGATACAGCCATAAATAAGTGGAAAGCCCCAAGTAAAAAAAAAAAAAACTAGTGCTTTGAGTTGAACATGCATCAAGGACAAGGTAATAGTGAAGAATCATGTGTAGTGGGATTGCTTACTAAATTAAGCTTTTTCACTATACCTAAATTCCTATGGTAGCTGGGAAAAATTTCTGCGTATAATTTTTTATTTTAAAAAGTTTGAGAGAAGATAGTGTATGCCTTTCATGTTTGAAATATAATTTAAAATTTTCAGGAATAGTCTATTTACATGTCATACCTAGAATTCTAGATACGTGTCATTTAGGAATTAGGATACATGAATTTGTCTGGGAACTTTGGAAGTTATTATTGAAGAACAAGTTAAATTGAATGGTCATTATGTAAGTTAGTCCTATATAAGATACTTGCGCGTTTCATGTGATGTATTCCTTACAAATGTATAAATTAACTGTTTATAAGAAGACAAGTCTGTAATTTTCACATAGGAGCTCTGACATCTCCAAACTTATGATTTTTTATTGATTTATTGATTTTTTTATTCTTCTGTTGCAACTTTAAATGTGGAATCAGAACTATGGTATTATCCTTCCCTATTTGTCATTGAGTATTTTTCATTAAAACTCATGCCTCAATTAATCTTGTCTGCAGTACTTTTTCAATGCAAAACGTGATCTCCTTGAGAAATTTGTTCATGAAAACTTTTCATTGTTACATGATTCGAAATCAAAATGCTTTCAAAATATTTGCTTCTTCCCCATGAAAAAAAAGAAGAAAAGAAAAGAAATAAAAAAAGAGAGGACCTGGTAGCTAGCAAGTTCTCAAAGGGTTAAAAGCAAATGCTAGAAAAATTGCGGAAACTAGCAAGTGCTTCACGTAATATTGAAGTTTGGGTTTAACCAACGTTACCAGAGAATTGGGGAAAAAAAAAAAGAAAAAAAGAAAAGAAAAGCAAAAGTCAGAGTGGGCAGCAGACTGGGGAAAAAATCCTAACCTACAAAAGTTCGAAAAGGCCAGGCTGGGCAGCAGATTGAAAGAGGTTAGAATTGAATTTTGTGATGCTGAGATTGTGAAGAAATGGTAACTGAAGTAAGGGAATTGAAAGAGGAAGGTATTGGCAATAATATTCAAAATGGAATCTCAAATTTCCGAGAAGTGGAGCCAGAGCAACATGTCGTTAACATTTGAAAAATTCAGAATTATGGGGCAGTGTTGAAATATAATTTAGAATCATCTAGACTAGTCTATATGTTTCATATCTGTATACATATGTAAAGGATACATGGATTTTGTCTAGGAACTTGAAAAGTCATACTTGGGGAACAATTTAAATTAATTGGCCATCGTATAAGTTAGTACTATAGAAGAGACTTCAAGTGTTTCATGTGACGTAGTACTTAAAAATATAGAAAATCAAGTTTTTTGATGGGAAGATAAGTCTTCTATTTTCACATAGGAGGGCTGTACATCTCCAAACTCATGTTTACATGTATAAATTTATTGATCTGTTTATGTCTCTAGTCTCTACTATGACTCCAACATTTCCTATCTGAAACTTAACCCAACCGCAGGGACATGATTTAAAATTTATATGCTTAGGCACCACTCCACAATAGGATTAGGTACCATATGGACAAGCCCAACAAAATCCTTGATTAATTGTTGACAGGCCAACAGAAGGAGACTTGTGACATAAGAGCACATTGGAGTGCCATATCATTCATTCATTCCTCAATTTAAATACTTTTTCCATCTAATTCATTTCTACTAGTGCTTACCGTTAGTCAATATGTATGTGAGGCATGATTTTCCACGCTTGTTTTGACCCTGTGGCTAGAGCTTTTATTTCCATTTCATCAATTGGAGGTTTCAAGGTTTCTCAGTACTTATTGTTTTCTCCTTTGAGCACGTCTTTAGTTAAAAACTGACACTTAACATTTAATTAGACACTGACACAACATTCATTTTCAATATGATTTTGTTCTTCGTGTATATGATACAAGATTAGAGTACTCAATATGAGTGTATGCTTTTATTGAAGTAGAAGAATTATTTTCTACCAAGTTAGAAGTATAAGATAAATTAAAACCTAAAACATAATGAACCTTTAAATCATTGTCTCGACTTTGATGGCCATATCTTCTAGGTTTTTTAATATTAAAAGTCTGCAAATCTTAAATACCTTGCAATTTTCCATGATGTGTGAAACTTAGCCTATATCTTTTTGATGAATGAAACTAATGTATTAGCAGAAAAGTAAAAATAGAAAACCTTATTGGTGAATCTAACTTGTTACTGATATGCTGTTAAATTTTTTGTTACCTTGTCATTGAAGCTTGCCCGCTAGGTTCTTACTGCCCACTTGGAAAGCTCAATAACGTCACTGGCATATGTGATCCGTAAGTTCATATTAGCTTTTTCTATCAAAAAAATTAATAGAGCAGCCTGAACTTGTTTTTTCGTTGTTATTCCATGTTCCTTATGTTTTAATTATATGATCAATTAATACACATGTTAGTAGAGAAATTTCGCAGATATCATTATAGACCACCTCCTGGACAGACAAATTATACTTGTGGCGGAGCTGATGTTTGGGCTGATGTTCTGAGTAGTGGTCAAGTATTCTGTTCAGCGGGATCATACTGTCCCACTACTATCGAAAAGGTTACTTGCAGTAGCGGGTATTGATTTTTATCCTAAAACTCACAGTACCTGTCTATTTCATTACAACCCACTAGCACTGAAGCAAGCGCACTTCTATAATTAAATTCAGTCCTTCTAATCGCTTTTTAAATAGCATTCAAAAATAATGTATCACTATTTGGTGCTTGGCATTACATGTATTGATTTTAAAATTTCTTGCAATTGCAGATATTACTGCAGGATGGGTTCTACATCTCAAAAGCGTAAGTTTCATGTTAACTTTGCAGCCTAAAGGTATATATATATATATATATATATATATATATATATATATATTTAAGTAATAACAAAATAAAAAGGCGGTCAAAAGGGGAACGCGTCCCTTATACAGAAGTGGAACCGGGGACTAAGGCCCCAAAGAATCCAAAAAAATAATTAAATCATCGGAAGAAGAACAAGAGCTCCTCTTCACGTAATTGAAAAGAGAACGAATAATATGAAGTTTTAGCATCGCCGTAGACATCTCCTTTCCTTCGAACATTCTACTATTCCTCTCCTTCCAGATGCACCACCAAACGCAATGTGGGACAATTCTCCAGTAATCGCGAACACCACTACTCACACGACATCCTCTCCAAGCTTAAATCAAATCCTTAGAATAACGTGGCATTATCCAACGCATGCCAAACAGCCCAAGAATAAGATTTCAACAATCGTACGCCACAGAACAATGCATGAGGATATGATCAACCGACTCACCATTTTGCTTGCATAGACAACACCAATTAACAAAACAGTTACCCCGCTTCCTCAAATTATCTATCGTCAGGATCTTACCCCACACAGCAGTCCATACAAAGAATGCCACCCTAGTTGGAACCATAGAACGCCAAATGGTCTTCCACGGAAAGTCAAGGCTAACAAAATTAGATAGACATAAGAATAAAGATCGCACTTCAAAACGACCATGGGAAGAGGGAATCCATATTAGAACGTCACTACTTCTGCCAACTGCCTCCTGCCGATACAACAAATCTAGAAGAACACACACCTCGTTCATCTCCCAATCCTGAAAGGAACGCCTAAAGCACACATCCCATGCAATCCCACTACTATCAAGCCGATAACAGTCAGCTACGTAGACGTGTTTATCAACTGCGATGCTGTATAATCTGGGAAAAGTACGAGATAATGGCTAGTCGCCACACCAAATATCCTCCCAGAAACGAACGCATCTGCCAACACGAATTTTGAATCTGATATGAGAAGAGAAGACATCCCATCCCTTCCGGATGGATTTCCACATCCCAACTCCTCCCGCAATATGAACCGGACCAGTAGACCAACCACCACTCTTTTCTCCAAACCAACATGAAACTATCCTTCGCCAAGGGGGATGTCTTTCTCTCCTGTATCTCCACAACCATTTACCCAAAAGAGCTTGATTAAAAGGAACCAATCTTCTAATAGCAAGACCACCCAACTTCATGGGCTTGCAAACTTGCTCCCATCTGACAAGGTGATACTTAAACAAATATGTGGGAAGGCTCGATAAAGTGCTCTTAATAAGAGTAATTTTACCCCCCTTAAACAAATATTGCTTCTTCCATTCTGCCAATCTCTTCGCATACCTATCAATCACAGGGTCCCAACTCCCCACTCTCTTGGAAGAAACCCCTAGGGGCAAACCCAAATAAGGAATGGGGAAAGAACTAACCCTACACCCGAGGACTGCAGCTAAAGAGGAAATATCATGAACATTCCCTACTGGGACAAGCATACTCTTAGCCACGTTGACCTAAATATTAGATGCCTTAGAGAATTCATTCTTCACATTGCTGCCTTAAAATCACAAATAAAGCCATATAACACGAGTTCGCTTTATTTTACATGTTTTACATATAAACTCCTGTGAAGCCTGTGAAGATTTTCAAAGAGGTCTACCAAAGGGTACAAGCAGTTGACTTGTCAAACATCCAGCCTATTGTTTCAGAATATTTTTTTTTTTTTTTTTTTGATAAGTAAATTGTATTAAAAGCGTTCAAAAAGGGGAACGCGACCCAAACTATACAAAGACAAAACGGAGCCTATGAATTCAAAGAGCTCATAAAATCAAAAATCTCCTCAAGAGAGGAGTAGTCTCTCCCCTGACCCCAACAAAACAAATTACAAATGATAGAAAATTTTAACACCCCAATGGAGGATTCCTTTCCCTCAAAAGATCTTCCATTACGCTCTCTCCAAAGGCTCCACCAAATACAAAAAGGGATCACCCTCCAAAAAACTCTGACCTGAGCCCCCACCCATTGGCCCCTCCGCATATCTAACAACTCCCAAGATGACCGAGGCATGACCCAATGAATACCAAACAGGCCAAACATCAAACTCCAACAATCATGAGCCACAGGACAGTGCAACAAAAGATGATCCACCGACTCCCCATTAATCTTGCAAAGACAACACCTATTAACAATGATATGCCTTCGCTTCCTCAAGTTGTCCAAAGTCAAAATCTTACTCCAAGCTGCAGTCCACACAAAAAAGGCCACCCTAAGAGGCGCCTTAGACCTCCACACCATCTTCCATGGGAATGAGGTACCATGAAAACCAGAAAGGCACACAAAAAAGGACCGGACCTGGAACATCCCCTGAGAAGTGATTGAACAAAGTATATGCCTTAGTCAACTTTTAGATGAAGAAATGGAAAATCTGCTCTTTTATATTTTCAACCAAAAGTATATTTCTTTGCTACTAAAAGCTTGGGTTGCCAAGTTTATAAACATGGTTTGAGTCTGAAGGCAACCATTTAGTGCAAATAATTCCAAAAGTTATGTTTGCACCCAATCTATCCCTTTCAGCACTCTTGATCAAGTGGAGGCCAACATTGAGTAATGTCCTTAACATACTGTTCTATTAAAATATAGCTCCACAATCCACAGTCATGAAGTTTCAGACAGTAGATCAATACTGTTGTTATTTTAGTTGATCTTTATGTACAATGGAGTGTTGTTGGTTCATTATTTTAGTACTTGTATGCTCTGTGAAGCTGAAATTTTAATGCAGTTACCTGGCCTACTTAGGTTAATTGGTGGACCTTTGACAGTATTACTTAACATCATAGGATAGGATAATTCTCACATTTCCATGGACATCAAAAGTAAAAAATAAAAAAATTCCACTAGAAAGAGCTTTTGGCTCTTTTGATGGTCCAAGGAAGATGAGAGCTTGAACTCCTTTTTGTAGGAAACCTATGCAATATTTAAATAGAACAACAAACAATTCATGCAACAGTGAACAACTAAACTGCTGTGTACTGAAGGTTCTGTCAGAGGCACATTAAGTTTAGGAAGGACAATGATGCAGTTTGTGGCGACCTTGTGGGCAGGTGTGTGTGGGCGAGTGCGAGGCACTGGCAGGCTATAGGTGCACAATCCCACATCGCCTGGATAAGATGAATGTGAAGTGCTTATATGTACTAGTGTTGTTTCTAAATGGTATGAGGCCTTTTGGGGTAAAACTCAAGAACAAAACCTTGTGGGTTCGGGCCTAAAGCGGACAATATCATACCATGCGGGACAATATTTGATGTAGAACAGCTCGCTCATGATTATATAAGCATACAGGATCGTCATAAATCAAGGAGGCTGAAAAGGTAAGGAGAATAGAAGGAAAAAATAAAGAAGGAAAAGTCAAAAGGAGATTTGGTGTAGTTGCCAACAATAGAAGATATTATTCTCCATTGCAAGAATTAAGGAGGATTCAGAAAATAAATAAGAAAATTTAGTGTAGTTGCCAACAATAGAAGATATTATTCTCCATTGCAAGATTTAAAGAGAATTCTGCTCTATCAAATCTCAGATTTCCCCTTTAATATTATTTCACGCATTATTTCTTTTTATTTTTATTTTATTTTTTTATTTTTTTATTTTTGACTTGCTTATATAAAGGCAAGAGATGTAAGTCTACAGATATCATCATTATCAGTATAATTTCACTTCTTACTTATCAAAAAATATATATACAATTTCAGTTTCTCTCTTGTGAGTGTGTTCTTTGTGAATTTAAGGGTTTAACCCTGTTCTTTATCGTTTCCGCTATATTAGTTGGTATCAGAGTAAGGTTCCGAATCCAAGATTCGCCTTTGTTTTCGATGTCCGGTTTACGAGATGGAAGCAACCCCTCTAGCGACAGTGATCGTGATGGAGTAGCTCTTTTGAGGGTTGAGTTTACTGAGTTCTAGACCAACGTTAATCGAACCTTACTTGATATGCATGAAACTATGCGTCAAGTATTGGCAAGATTGACGACGGTAGAACTTAACCGCGAGAACAACAGGCTACCCAACGACGGTGATCATGAACGTCTTGCTGGTAATTGCAACCCAAACCCACCGAATAGGCAACCAGCCTATAAGGAAAATGTCGGTTTTGGTAACGACTGAGCCGTATAGGTGTTTGGAGATAATCGAGGTCGATGGGAAATTGATGATTCTAGGGATTTTCGTATAAAGATTGACCTGCCCACCTTTTAAGGTCATCTTCGTATTGAAGAATTCTTGGACTGGATTAGTGAAGTTGAACGTTTCTTTGACTATATGAAAATCTAGGAGGAGAAGCAACTAAGCAAGTCAAACTCATGGCCTATAAGTTGAAATGCGGCGTATCAGCATGGTGGGATCAAGTGCAAACTACCTGCGCACGTGAGGGTAAAGATCTAGTATGTACATGGGTTAAGATGAAGAAGTTGATGAAAGCTTGATTTTTACCCCTTGATTACGAACAGGTTCTTTATTAGAAATATCAGTCATGTACGCAGGGAAATAGAACGATTGCCGAATATGCTGAAGAATTTTATCAGTTGTCATCCCGTAACAACCTGGAACCCGAATTTAGGATGGTGGCTTGTTTCAAAGGTGGGTTACGATGGGATATTGAAGAGAAAGTGGCACTGCAACCGCTATTCAAACTGTTTGAGATTGTCATGGCGGTAGAGAGAGCAGAATTGTTACTGGAGAAATCTCGTGGTTCATATAATACCCCACGTCCTACACATGACATGGGCAAACAGACCGCTGTAGCCCCTATTCCAATGACATGGCGTTGCATTGGAGATGGTCCAACAAAGGCCAAACCCGCAACACCTGTAGGCCCTGCTGGAAGGGGAGCCCCAGCTGTGAGAGAAAATCCCTATGCACACCCAAGTATGGACAAGTGTTTTCGATGTGGAGAACCTGGCCATAAATCCAACAATTGCCCCAAACGACCGGCACTAAATCTAGTCGAGCATGAGGAAGGCGAGGTGAGGAAGGTGAGTTCCTTACCTTTGAAGAAGAAGGGTGACTGAAGGAGACAATGGCGAGTTGTTGTCGTACTCTTTAGTCAAGAGGAGGTTGATGTTCACGCCAAAGAAGGGGGAGCACCCACAGCGTCATAATGTGTTCTGTACATGTTGCACTGTTAACCATAAGGTATGTGTTTATTGATAGCGGCAGTAGTGAGAACATTGTTTCCTTAACAATGGTTCGAAAATTGGGGCTTAAAACAGATAAATATCTCCATCCATACAAAATTGGATATATCAAGAAAAGTTCAGAAACGCGAGTAATTGAAACCTACACCATTCCATTCTCAATTGGGAAAACATATGCAGAGGAGGTACGTTGTGATGTAGTCGACATGGATGCATGCCATATGATATTGGGCAGACCATAACAATTTGATGTCGATGCCACTCACCGTGGTAGAGACAATGTGTATGTTCTATACAAGAATGGTCAGAAGATTGTTTTGGGCCCGCTGAAAGAAGTCGAATTTCACAAAGGAAATTCAGTTGTGTTGATCAACAGTAAGGAATTTCTGGGCGAAGTAACAACTGCCCTTGAAATCATTGCTATAATGTGCAAGGGGTAAGTAGTTGAGCAACCTTCTTTTACACTACCAGCAATAGTGCAACCTTTAGTGAGTTGGTGCCAGAAGACTTGCCTAATAGTCTCCTTCCCATAAGGGACATTCAGCACCACATTGACTTGGTTCCCGGGGTGAGCCTGCCAAATCTACCACATTACCGGATGAGTCCCAACGAGAATCAGATCTTACAAGAGCAAGTGGAAGAGTTACTACATAAAGGGTAATTCTGGAAAGCATGAGCCTATGTGCTGTTCCGGCTTTGCTAGTACCGAAGAAAGATAGCAATTGGAGAATGTGCGTTGATAGTCGCGTAACTAACATAATCATTGTCAAGTACAGATTTTCCATTCCAAGGTTAGATGATATGCTGGATATGTTGGTGGAATCGAAAGTCTTCACTAAAGTGAACCTCAAGAGTGGATACCATCAGATTAGAATCCGCCCTGGGGATGGGTGGAAAATGGCGTTCAAGACAAAAGAAAGACTGTACAAGTGGTTAGTCATGCCATTCGGATTATCCAATGCGTCAAGTACTTTCATGCGATTGATGAATCAGGTACTCAAACCATTTATTGGTCAATTTGTAGTTGTTTATTTCGATGATATTCTGGTTTATATTCAAACAGAGGCAGGACCCCTTTTGCACTTGAGAGAGGTATTAACAGCTTTGTAGAAGAATAAATTGTTAATCAATTAGAAGAAGTGTAGCTTTGTGACCCCAAGCCTAGTATTCCTCGGCTATGTGGTTTGTAGTGGTGGCATTCGGGTAGATAAGGAGAAGGTGAGGGCCATTCGGGAGTGGCCTACGCCGAAGAATGTGGGAGAAGTACGCAATTTCCATGTCTTAGCCACGTTTTACTGAAGGTTCATCAAGAACTTCAGTAGTATTATGGCTCCCATCACAGAATGCATGAAGAAAGGAAAATTCCAATGGGGAGAGGAAGCTGAGATGAGTTTTGCCTTAATCAAGGAAAAACTGTCAACAACCCCAATCTTAGTCCTTCCAGATTTTGAGAAGCCATTCCAGGTGGATTGTGATGCCTCAATAGTGGGAATCGGAGCAGTTCTATCACAAGAAGGAAGGCCAGTAGCGTTTTACAGTGAGAAGCTGAGTGAAGCACGCAAGAAGTGGACTACCTATGAGTTGGAATTCTATGCGGTGGCGCAAGCTTTGCATACGTGGGAGCATTATCTTATCCGGCGAGAGTTCTTGTTATTTACAGATCACCAAGCACTGAAATCCATTAACAATCAAAACGGTGTTAATCGGATGCATGCACGATGGGCGACTTATATATCCAGCGATTCACTTTCTCGCTAAAACACAAGTCAGGCCAACAGAACAAAGTTATAGATGCACTAAGTCGGAGAACAGCTTTCTTAGTGACTATAGTTCGAGTGCTTGAAGGAGTTATATGAGGCCGACAAAGATTTTGACCAAGCTTGGGCAGAGTGTAAAATGAGCCAATCTTTTAAAGGGTTGCACATGCAGGAAGGATTTCTCTTTAATGGCAATTAGTTGTGTATTCCACGGAGTTCTTTGCGTGAGCAAGTGGTTTGTGAATTGCATGGAGGAGGATTAGGAGGACATTTGAGGCGTGATAAGATGCGAGAGCTGGTAGAAGAACGGTATTATTGGCCGCAACTCAAGCGTGACGTGGAGAACCATGTGCGGTGGTGCTCAATCTGCCAAACTAATAAAGGCCAATCTTAGAATACTGGTCTTTACACACCATTGCCTATTCCAGATGCTCCATGGGAGGATTTATCCATGGATTTTGTTCTAGGGTTGCCGAGGACACAGCGAGGAACAGACTCTGTTTTTGTGGTGGTTGATCGATTTTCCAAGATGTCCCATTTTATTGCATACAAGAAGACGAACGGTGCAGTCCAAATGGCCAATCTGTTCTTTAAGGAGGTGGTTCGTTTACATGGGGTGCCACTGTCCATTACCTCAGATCGTGACACCAAGTTCTTGTCTCACTTTTGGCGGACTTTATGGAAGAGATTCAATACCTTTCTTAATTTCAGTAGCACCAGTCACTCTCAGATTGATGGCCAAACAGAGGTGGTGAATTAGACCCTTGGAAATCTAATTCGCTGTATTTAAGGAGAGAAACCAAAACAGTGGGATCTTGCTTTTGCCCAGGTAGAATTTGCTTAAAATTGCATGGTTAACAGGTCCACTGGCAAATCCCCTTTTGTGGTTGTGTGTTGCTATAGAGAAAATGGCTGAGCACATTAAGACCATTCAGGAGAGTGTCAAGAAATATCTAGAGGAAACTTACGCCGAATACAAGGCTGCAGCTGACTAAAGATGGAGGAAAAGAGTATTTGAAGAAGGGGACCTAGTTATGGTGTATCTAAGAAAAAAGAGGTTTCCAGTGGGAACATACAAGTTGAAGGCCAAGAAATATGGTCCATACCAAATTCTAAAGAAAATTAATGGCAACGCCTATGTGATTGATTTACCTGCAAACATGGCCATTTCTTCTACCTTCAATATGGTTGACATACATGAATATTATCCACCAGATTTGGGTAACTCGGGGACGAGTTCTTTTTACGTAGGGGAGACTGATGTAGAACAGCTCGCTCATGATTATTTGAGCATACAGGATTATCACAAATCAGGGAGGTTGAAGAGGTAAGGAGAATAGATGAAATAAATAAATAAATAAATAAGGAAAAGTCAAAAGGAGATTTGGTGTAGTTGCCAACAATAGAAGATATTATTCTCCATTGCAAGAATTAAGGAGGATTCAAAAAATAAATAAGAAGATTTGGTGTAGTTGCCAACAATAGAAGATATTATTCTCCATTGCAAGATTTAAGGAGGATTCTGCTCCATCAAATCTCAGATTTCCCCTTTGGTATTATTTCACGCATTCTTTCTTCTTTTTTTTTTTAAATTTTATTTTTGACTTGCCTATATAAAGGCAAGAGATGTAAGTCTACAAACATCATCATTATTGATATAATTTCAGTTTCTCTCTTGTGAGTGTGTTCTTTGTGAATTCAAGGATTTAACCCTGTTCTTTATCGTTTCCGCTACGTTAATATTATACCATGTGGTGGAGTGGACTGTTACAAAGTTGTAATGAGACAATTGATATCTGTGGTTTATCTGATGACCTTGTTTTGTAACAGATTGAAAAGCTAGGTTATTACTTATTCTGCTGGCTCCAAGTAGTTGAGATATGGTATTATGCATATAGAATATATTTATCATTTATGCAATACTTATAAATGTTGGGCAATGTACTGATACTGCATCTTCTCTTTCTGTTGATCATTTCTCTATGCCTTAATGTTATTCTCTGTGCTGCCTTCCTTGGGGATTTTTACTTCAATTTTCTAATTTGCTCAAGAACGAAGGTAAATGTTTGCTTTAACATTTAACCTGTTACTAACCATTTGCAGCATGCTCTGCGTTGAGTACGTGCGATCCAAATACAGCAAATCAAAACCTTGAAGTATACGGGATTATTATTATTGTAAGTTATTGCTTAAATAGTATTAGATCGGAAATTTGATATCTTATCCGGATCTTGAATCTCTGGGATAAAGAATGGTCTCACTACTGGATTTTCAGCTTATATTTGCTTTCTTATAGTGATTATGTTTTTCATACTAGTCTGGCTGTGTGTATTCTTTGGATAGTTCTGGATGGTTAACTTTTATGCATGTGGATTCAGAAATAATTCATCTGTCAGTTATATCTTCTAATTTTAGATGCCACTCCCCTTTATCCATTCTTGTCCTGAAAAGAATAAAAAGTAGTTCTACAAATCAGCACTGCAGTTTCCGTAGTCTTTATCCAGCATGCTTATTTTGTTTCCTTTCTGCCAGTAAGATGCATCAGCTACACTAATTTTAATCTGCATACTGAACTATTTTTCCCTTGTAGCTGTTGTCAATAGAATCTGACACTGTTCACTTGTTTATGTAGGCTACATTGAGTGTCCTACTGCTGCTTATTTATACTTGTTCAGACCAAGTCCTCTCAATTCGGGATGAAAGACTGGCCAAGTCCCGGGAAGCTGCGGCGAGGAGTGCACGAGAAACTGCACAGGCGAGAGAAAGGTGGAAGTCTGCAAAAAATGTTGCCATTAAACGTGCAGTTGGCCTGCAACAACAGTTTTCGTGTGCATTTTCACGGAAGACATCTTTTAAACAACCAGAACAACTGAATGTTATTGGTCAAGCTAAAGCTGGCAGTAATGAAGCCTCACTACCACCTAAAATTCCCAGTAATTCAAGTATAGCTCTGCAGCCATCAGTTGCTCCAAAAGCAAAGAGAAAGGAACCAAGCAACCTTACAAATATGTTGCAATCCCTCGAGAATGATTCAGATAGTAACCAGGGCTTTAATCTGGAGATTGGAGATAAAAATATAAAAAAGCAGATTCCAAAGAATAAGTTGCACACTCGCAGCCAAATATTTAAGTATGCATATGGTGAACTCGAGAAGGAGAAAGCTAAGGAGCAGAAGGGTAACAACTTGACCTTCACAGGAGTACTCTCAATGGCAACCAATAGTGAAATCAGGACCAGACCTCTGATTGAGGTTGCTTTCAAGGATCTAACCCTTACTCTAAAAAGGAAAAATAAACATCTGTTGAGGTGTGTTACTGGGAAAATTATGCCTGGTAGAGTTTCTGCTGTCATGGGTCCATCAGGAGCAGGAAAAACAACATTTCTTTCTGCTCTGACAGGAAAGGCAACTGGATGCACCATGTCAGGTTTAATTCTTATAAACAGAAAAGTTGAATCCATTCACTCATACAAGAAAGTTATTGGTTTTGTCCCACAAGATGATATTGTCCATGGAAACTTAACAGTAGAGGAGAACCTCCGGTTCAGTGCAGAGTGCAGGTATAGTGCATCTAGTTTATAAATGCTAGCTCTAAGCCTGTAACCCATTTTCGTTCCTTAGTCCATGCCTTTCTTTCACTATTACTAAAGAATCAAGGATGTTACTGTTAAAATTCAGTATGAAATATGTATATCTTTGTTAAATAGGTAATGATCATAAATCTTATATTTGCTCTCACATCACGTTGTTTAAGAAAATCATTACTCGGTTATGTTATTTCTTTAGAACCAGCTAGTTAAAATTGTAGTTCTATTTTATTTTTATATTTTTGGATTTTGTTATCAAAATTTCTGTTTGCTGTTTCCCTTTTCCTCTTATTGATAATAAAATTTTGAAATCAAGTCCATGTTTGGAGGGTGTATATAAGATTGAAATATTTAAATACAACAAAAGAAACCCAGTATTATCATAGTATGTCTCCCAATTCTTGAAACACATTGCAATCATCCTAATCTACAGATATTGTATGGTTGGCTTATCTCAAAGCCCCAACCTTTGAGTTGCCAATTTTTTTGTTTTACTATGCCCTTGACTTTGTTAATCACTGCAAGATCTGATTGTTTTAATAATCCTAATCAAACAATCTTATTTGGTGTATCTCAAAGCCCCAAGCCTGGAGGTTTTCATCTTTTTTGTTCATTTTGGTTTTGCACAGTTTTATTCTTGGGTTTTACCCCAAAAGGCCTCGTACCATTTGGAGATAGCACTAGCACTTATAAGCACTTCACCTTCACCTTACTCAGGCGATGTGGGATTGTGCAACCTGTAACTCGCCCAATGTCTTGCACCCGCGCACATATAAGCACTTCACCTTCACCTTATCCAAGTGACGTGGGATTGTGCAACCTATAACTCGCCCAATGTCTCGCACCCGCCCACATCACACCCACCCACATAGGTTGCCACAACCACCACCCCCAAAGGGCCCAACGTTCCCGTTGGCCACACTTCCGGCTTTGATACCATTTGTAACAACCCACTCACCACATGGTATGATATTGTCCACTTTGGGCCTGAGCCCGCGCGGTGGGTTTTACCCCAAAGGTCTCATAGCATTTGGAGATAGACTAGCACATATAAGCACTTCGCCTTCACATTCACCTTCACCTTCACCTTACCCAAGCGACGTGGGATTGTGCAACCTATAGCTCGCTTAGTCTGGTAGCTCACCTAGTGTCTCACACCCGCCCACATCACACCCGCCCACATACGTCACCACACATCTTCTCTATTCTTCTTCCCTTATCAGGTGCTTTTGCATGGATAAACTGTTCGGCTCTTCACTGATTTTACATTATGATCCCTTCAACCTGATTTTGCATGCATAATCTGGTGTTGAAGGACATGCTTAAGTTACCTTCATAGACTCCTCTTCTTTGTGGCTCCACTCTCTTTCTACTCTCCAATTCTTATTCATAAATATAACTGATCATGGATCACATTTTCATTATTGTTATTTATATTTCTTATGTGCTGATTGTCATTATATATTTTTTGTTGAAATTTGTATATAATGGAGACTCTCTGCCGACATGCCAAAAGCTGATCGGGTTCTGATTGTTGAAAGAGTTATTGAGTCACTGGGACTGCAAGCAGTAAGGGATTCTCTGGTTGGGACAGTAGAGAAACGAGGAATATCTGGAGGTCAGAGGAAACGAGTAAATGTTGGGCTGGAAATGGTCATGGAGCCTTCACTATTGATCTTGGATGAGCCCACGTCTGGTTTGGACAGTGCATCTTCAAATTTACTTCTAAGGGCTCTTCGACGTGAAGCTCTTGAAGGGGTAAACATCTGCATGGTCGTTCACCAGCCAAGGTAAAATTGAATTTATTACATTGCTCTCTGCCTGTTCAACCGAGACCAAAGTATCCAGAAAGTATGACGTATCTCTGAAATGGAGAAACCTCTATATTGCCTTTTTTCTTTTTTTTTTTCTTTTCATTTCTTTTCATTTTGGTTTTTACCACCACTCATTGTCATACGTACATATTGAATTCCCTACTGGACGATCACATGATAGAAAATTCCAGATAAAACCAAAGCGATTCTGGAAATAGTTTTAGATAAAACAGAACCTTTTTTGCCATTTGGAGATACCGTTAGAATGTACTTTCTTCCATGTTGTTGAATCTAGTAATTGGAATCAACTTTCCAGACTAAATAGTTTTTTCAATTCTGCTGATGAAATCCCAAGACCTTATGCAGGTGAAGACCAATGAGTATGGAGAAAAACACAGAGAAACAAACATAACCCCTCATAAGGACTTTACCCTATGGCCAAAGTCAATTCAGCAAGAGAACAAAATTGGCTATCAAGTATCAATTGGGCCTTTGGGAGGTTACAACATTGGAAAAATATCTTCCTTGATAAGTGGTTTCACAATTCGCCAGAACCTGAATGCAGACCCACCTTCACTTCATGGTAGTATCATGAACCAACCTGTGATGGCACCACTCATAAAGCTTAAGCCTAGAACTCCCAATGAAGTGTTACACCAAGAAAGCAAGTGTCCTTAAGAGGTGCCCAATTTGCAGAGGCCGTTTTCTCATCCAAAAGACTCATATCCCCAGAAAGAGTTCGTTGTGGTGCATTTATCATTCTTTCTAGTTGTTACAATCCCTTTCCCTCCTTACACACTTGAGCAACCTAAAACAATATTCCAACAATTCCAAGTAATACTCTAAACGATATGCCATCACCCATTATATACCTCACATCCTCCGGAAGAGTTCATTGTAGTGTTTTTGCTATCACCTACCCCAACATCATCCTTGAGCTTACATAATTTATTATAGATCTTGATATTTTTACTGTGTGTTTGCAAAGAATAATATCTTAGTTTGGAAAATATGCTATTATATAATAGGAACTTAAGAAGAAAATAAGTCTATGAGATCTCTTAAATCATCAAGATTGGTGGATTTCTGCACGGGGCAGGCAGGTTCATCCCATTTATAATAACAATTCCAAGCATGACAAAAAAAAAAAAAAAAAAAAAAAAAAAAAAAAAAAGAATTTTTTTTTAAGCAAGAAAAGAAGATAAACAAAGATAGACACAAAAGAGAAATACATGAATGGATCACAGAAAGCATCTAGTAATTTATTGTGCAAGCATTGACTAATAATTGATAACTTGAATAAGAAGAGTACGCTACATGCTATCTCAACAGATTGAATAGTGTGTTCAGACGTCTTATGGAAATTGAATAGCTCTATTGCTGTCAACTCTCTAATAATTCAGTCTTTAGAATAATGAACTTAGTAATTAATAAAATTCCTAAATATTACATCACCTTAGTTGCATTAGCCAATACTTTCAAATTTTATACCCATAAGAAACAAGAAAATGCATATTTTTTTGTTAATAATATTGTTAATTTTTTGTGGACAAAATACATATTTTGTCTACTACTCTTAAGGAATGAGAAAAAAAGCTTAATATTCTTTAACTCAAATAATTTTAATGTTGATACGATAATATTGTTAACTGGGATTGAGTATGTAAGTGTTTTCATTTCTATAGACATCTCTATTCTAAAAAATAATAATGACATAGGTTCTTCTAAAAAAAAATTTTAATTGTTAAGTCATGGAATTAGAAATTATGCACCACAAAACCAAGTTGGATCCTCCAAAAGTCATCAATTATTAGAATAATTAATTTATCCAATATTAATAATTAGAGGCTGAACTGTATATGTAACATGACAATATGCCGTACAAAGCTAACAATTAGTCATTTGAAAAGGGCCTTAAAGGAATCACTGGACCAGATGGTATGGGAGGAGATGTATGATTTCATGAAACTCTACGACTGCGATTTTAATCGTTATTTGCAGTAATTGCGAAGTTTTTCTTGGATAGCCTCATTTATGATATGGATTTGAATGCAAAATTATAAACAAAGCACACAAAACAATTCAAGTAAAATGGGACATCCAAATAATCTTCACTTAGACTATGAATGGGTTAAAGACATCCATTACTCACAGAACATGGCCATATGGCTGGTGAACTGTTACCATGTCGTGGCTTCATTACTGATGAGCATGCCCTTAGTAAAGAAACTCTATTTGAAACTAACATGAGAAATGAGGGATGGAGCTAACATAAGCCTTTTAAGTGAGGCATGTGAGACTTTTGCACTAGTGGATGAATGTATATTTTTATTCATGTGATCATCTATTAAATCTCTTGGCTAATTATTTCCTGTTGCAGTTATGCCTTGTTCAGAATGTTTGATGACTTAATACTTCTAGCCAAAGGTGGTCTTACTGTGTACCATGGATCTGTGAAGAAAGTTGAAGGATACTTTGCAGGCCTAGGGATCATTGTGCCAGAACGTGTTAATCCTCCAGACCACTTCATCGATATTTTGGAGGGTATAGTGCAACCGGTCTCGGGTGTGACTGTTCAACAGCTTCCTGTCAGATGGATGCTTCATAATGGGTACCCGGTGCCCCCCGAGATGATGCATTATTGTGATGAAATTGCAGCATCCTCGAAGGGTGTAGATCCAGGAGCTGATGAAGCTACTGAACAACCTGTTGCTGGAGACTTGTGTCAGGATGTAAAGTGCAATGTCAAGCATCAGCACAATTTTAAAAAATCCCATGACTTAACTAACCGAGTTACTCCTGGTGTATTCCGTCAATATAGATATTTCCTTGGGAGGTATAATAATCTCTATTCAAAATACTACTTCTTTCTCCATTTTTCTTCATAATCGTTGAACCATGAATTTTTTTATTAGCGGCAAATCTTTAGCTGGTTGTGTCTCCAGCAATTGATTTGAAAATGTTTGTTTGAAGTGGAACTCTTATGTTTACATATTCATATGCGACTTTCTTCAGAAAGGGCAGCTGTATCCCAGAATTTTGCTGGTCATCTGTTATCACATTAGAACCTCGGATTGCATCTTTTGTTCTCCCTTTTTTTTTTTCCCATAAAATGGTTTCTGTTTGTACTGTTTGTATTAACAAATAAGAAAATGAGAAAAAAAAATAATATCAAAAAATGAATTCATTTTGTTAAGTGTATGCATTTATCCATTGGTCTAGTTGGCCTGTGATTAAGATTGAACTTGAAATTTATTCAGAACAGTTGATCTTTGATATCCGACTACTTCATGCTTTAACCTATTAAGTATTGTTTCTTGATTAGTGATAGAAGAATAACGTTTTCAGGGTTAGCAAGCAGCGACTACGAGAATCTAAAATTCAAGCAGCCGACTATTTGATATTATTACTTGGTGGAGTATGCTTAGGAACTATCGCAAAAATTACAGATGAAACATTTGGGGCTCTTGGTTATACTTACACTGTCATCGCTGTTTGTAAGTGGAAGAGCACAAATTTTGTAGCCATCATGTTCCTATTGAATTTACGTTTCATTTATTTAATTATTATTAATTTTTTACTTGCTATAGTTTCAAGAACGTGATTAAAACTTGTTATTTGCATCTCTCAAATCTCTTTCAAATGCCAACCATTATCTACCATGTAAAGTGTAACATGCATGTTTAACAGCCACCAAGACGCTACAAATTTTTATACTATTTTCAGCAACGTTTTCCCACTCTATGGCCTTCCTTTAATGTTTATTATCTTCATTGCTGAGTTGCAGCACTTCTATGCAAGATTGCAGCTTTGAGAACATTTTCACTGGACAAATTACACTACTGGAGAGAAAGTGCATCTGGCATGAGCAGTCTAGCTTATTTTCTCTCCAAGGATACAATAGACCATTTCAATACGGTTGTCAAGCCTTTGGTTTATCTTTCCATGTTCTATTTCTTCAACAGTCCTCGATCATCCTTCATGGACAATTACATTGTTTTGCTCTGCCTCGTATACTGTGTGACTGGCATAGCCTATGTATTTGCCATCCTCCTCGAACCTGGTTCAGCCCAACTGGTAAGTATTGGTAGGTCATATTGGGATTTGGTTGCTAATCAATATAAATTCTGACGTCTTTTCTTTTTCGGCGTGCCATTTAAACGCCATCCTCCCTGCAGTGGTGTGTTCTGCTTCCTGTTAATTTGACTCTCATTGCAAACCAGAATAAGAAGACTCAAGCTGCGAAACTCTTAGGCGATTATGTCTACCCAAAATTTGCCATGGAAGCTTTTACTGTTGCAAATGCTGAAAGGTTTGATGTTACTAGCCTTTTTCCTTCTTGTGGGGTATTTATGGTTATCAACTACTTGAATATTGACATGTTACAACCTGTTCCACACATACTTACTCTTTTTGAAACGGTCTACCAATGCAAACTTTTTTCAGAAAAATATGAATGTTCATAAGATCTTTTATACCATTTTGTTATTTCTATAATGCGTTATGATTGAATGTTTTTTGGCTGTGTGTATCATGGTCATAATCTTTTTTCATTAAGGCGCTTTATGGATTGAACGTTTTTTGGCTGTGTGGATCATGGTCATATTCTTTTTCCATTAAGGCGCTTTATGGGTTGAATGTTTTTTGGGTCGTGGATCATGGTCATATTCTTTTTTCATTAAGGCTGTTTATTCAATGGAAAAGTAAATCCTTGAATTGTCTCGATTTCTCACTTTTGTATTTTCTGTGAGAAGGAGAAGAATGATAGTGGAAGAGTAATTCTTCCCATGTCCAAAATGTAGGAAAGTGTTTATCTGTTTTTCAAGTGGTAGTTACTTTCAGTAAAGGGGTTAATTGCACCCTCCATTCATATATTTTGTGTGTGTCTTGAATATTAACTGCAACTCAATGATAAGAGCAGCTGGAGTATTCCAACCAATTCATGATCTGTTTTTCAAAGCTCTAAAAGCTGCTTCCTTCTTGCCAATTATATGTAAACATGTTAAATTGCAAGGTCGATAACACTAATAGAAGGTATGGGGATTCGGTGACTTCAATATAGCTTTTACTATCAAAATAGTTACTACAGGATGTTGAGCGACTTCAAGTAATTGGTCCAATGCTCCCAATGTTGTGTAAAAACTGCACCAACAATGGTGAAAACAGTGAAAACAGTGAAAAACAGTTTGGAAGACAACTCATGAAGGTTGACTCAAAGCTGTGTTTGGTTTACTTTTGCACCAACCCAAATGCATGTCCATGAATTACCTCAGCAAAAAATTGACCAAATGATACGAATAATTGAACTCTTTGCTGATTTCTGTTTGTAAGTTAACAGTATTCATACTTAAAAAGAGTACCATAAATCTGTTGGATTTAAATAGGTTGCCCACACACCAATCAATGCCCACCAACTTTAAGAAAATCATACGACTGTGACTTAAAATTTGTGTTTAGGTCAAAAATTTTTTGCATTCAACTTCCTAAATATAAGTTTTAAGATTTACAAAGTGGTTTAATAGTGCTATAATTCATGAATTCGTTTGAATAAAGTTACAACAACAAATATCACTTACGATTTATCTGCTACAGATAAGCTCCCTTGTAAAATTCTATTGTAACTTGTAAGACATTAGATTAACAAATATAGAATTTTTTTCCAATTCAACTTTTGCGTCTCAATTTTAGAGTGGTTGATGTACCCTTCTTCCAACTAAATGTGATATATGGACTGAATTTTTCTTGACAATAATTATATCTGGTGAGCAGGTACAGTGTTATGATTGCCTTGTTGACATAATCTACTGTTTAACCTCCTTCTACTCTTCTCTTCAGGTACTCTGGAGTGTGGCTAATAACCCGGTGTGGTTTATTACTGAAAAGAGCCTACAATGTTAACAATTGGACTAATTGTGTATTGTCCCTCATGGTTACTGGTATAGTTAGTCGTTTCATAGCTTTTTTTTGTATGATAAAATTCCAAAAGAAGTAAGTTTAACCCTTTATTTCGTGGCATATTATTATTTTAATGTACAGAAATCGAAAAGTCTATTTTTTTTACCACTATATCATATTAGATCCATTCAAAAGATTATGTAAAATTTCCTTTAGCAATGAGAGTTTGTGGCTTACAACAAAATGGAATCATGTAAACATGCATACTGACCAGGTTAAGATTTGTTGCAACTTCCTAAATTATATGTTGTACCTACCTCTCGATAAGTTTTTTAAGAATCGTCTCACTTAGGAGAGAGAGAGAGATGATGAAAGATAAGTCAGCGTCTCTTCAGTATCCATTCTCAATATCTAACTATTGTTTTATGGTGTCTGTGAAACAAAGGGCTAAAATTTAATGCATAGAACATCCTATAGACTTCTGATACTGCAGGGTTAATGGAGGAATAGTATGAAAGAGAAGAGACAGGCCACAAACAAGAAATGAGATAGTTCTCAATTTGGTTGAATGGTCCTCATCCCTCTTATTCGGTTTCTCCTTAGTCCCACCTGCTACATTCTTGAGTGGCAGGTTCAGAAATGCAGTTGTGGAGTGAGACAAAGGTGCACTTCTTTACATACGGGCACCTACACAAAAGTGCTGCCAACAAGGTGTGCAAATTATCAAGTGAAGGAGACCGGCATTTGATCTTCAACCTTCCTAATTCACAATACTGCTTGTGTATGTGAAGAAAAGTTTGAACGTGGTGCATTGATATCTTAATGAATTTAATGAATGTAGAGTAAAATACTCTGCTTGTGTATGTGAAGAAAAGTTTGACATATTGTGTTTGATGTAATAGATGATTACTGCTGAAATTTCTTTTGACAGAGCATCATCCTTTATGCTTCATCGTTATAAGGACAATATATATATATATACTGTTTTGGCTTCTATAACTATTTGGTGCATTTAAAGTGCTTTTGGGGGTATAATTTGATGACTGTTGCAACTTTTTTGATGAATATGTGACAACTTTGATGTGCAGCAAGTTATGACTGGGACTCTGGTTTCTTCTTCTCCATCTTTTATATATGTCTCAGGTAACAAAACCCAGAGATTTTTTCTGAAATTTGGCTGGCATAACTGCCACCCTTCCCTCCACTTATCTACCTAAATAGTTCTCTAAACCATTTTAATTAGGCGGCGTGGCAGATTTTTCAAGATCAAGTATTCACCCTGCTCTCCGTTTCGCGTTGCAATGGTTTTGTTCCTCGATTTTCTAAAATTTCTATTCCATCTATGAAAATTATACTTTGTGCAGGGAGCCACTACAACTGAAATTGAGGTAGCTCCTATTATTTGTGAATCTATTTTCCCCTGAATTTAATTTCCCTAGATGGATTCTATTATTTGTTCCTGGTATGAACAAGCTATGCAGATGTGTAGTAAGAGACACATAATCTGGCAGTCCAAAACCAAAATAGGTGCTTGTGACTCCATTTCTCCAATGTAATATACTGTTCTTGACCAAGGCTTGCTGCCGAATGATATTTTCTCTCCTTTCAAGATAAAAAAGTTGAGGGTTCAAGACTCCCCAAGCGTGGAGTTTACTTGCCAGGATGCAAGCACAACACACACAAAATAAACTATTATTAGCGATAAACTTCATTTTTTTGGTGAGTTGCATCCAATGCCCAAGAATAGAGTGGGAAAACAAATGGGTCTGGAATCAGTTTTAGTGACATTTGAAATATCTTCTTTCAAACTGTACAATATTATAGATTTCAAAAATTCCAACTTCGATCATGATTCATCAAACTCTGCTATATAATGATTCTATGTGACAGTACTATACACAATATTCCTTTAGCAGGGCTCGATTGTACGTCTATACATAGTTTTTGTTAATGGACCACTTTTTCCAGTGGTATCAACTTACGTCACTGGACTCGAATGGATGCGGGTGTGCTCTCTCACTCCTGTTCTTACCCTGTGTGATTTTAATTTTGTCACTTTCACGATTCCTTCTATTCTCGCATTCATTTCGACTCCCGTTCCGTGTGACTTGGGGTGTGTGTCCCAAGTGTTGAATCCTTCAAATCCTGGTGTAATCAAACATTACCCTGCCATCCATAAACTCTTGACAACCTGAACCTCAATAATGATGACGATGATGGAGAACGAGAATAAAGAGCTTAACTCCTCTAAACATTAAATTTTTGGCAAGTTTGGCTTTTATGCTAACATCGATCAACCTGCTCAATTATAGCGTTCAAGTATATATAGATATATATTTTGGGAGAATTGTAAAAAAAAATCTCGACTATCACCCAGTTGCAAAAAACATTCTAATGAATTGCAAGAGGAAGACGAATGACACTAAGGTTGATGGTCAACCTGGTGGTGTAAGTACAAGCCCCTAAGTTCATAGTCCAAGCAAGAACAATTGAAAAGTATACATTCACATTGATTAACCTAACATGAACTATATCTAATGGTTGAGAGCATAATTATACTTCAAAGTAATTGAAGTGATTCATGAAGTAGATAGTGGAGTTCAAATAACAGAGTCCTAATGTTGTTTATGCAAATTATTCCAATTATAAACAAGTCAAAATTGGTTCCAAATGGTTAATGTTCTAAATCTCTAATGTGTGTGGCTCTTTCATAGGGCCAATCAACAATGTTTAAATTGGATGGTATCAACCTATTTTCAAGTAGTTCAAATAGTCAAAACTGCACCATCACCAAAATAAAAATTTGAAGCTTCATACATTAATTCATCAATTATAAACAGTAACATTTAGTTTGACATGATAAAATTTTAGCCACAAACACTTTTACATGAGAGCACAACATGAAAAAACGAAGACTAGAGTACATAAAAGGATTAGAAAAATGATGTTCCAATGCAGCAATTTGTGCTAACATATTGGAAGAGGAGCACCATTCCACTCCTTGAGACAATCCAACATTGGATCAATAATTTTACCTTCACACATTGCAGTGAATACCTTGTCACACTCCTCGCCCGGCGACCGGACTTTCTCTCCCGTCAACAACTCTGTTCCCAGCTCTTCCCTCACAAATTTGTACAATGGATAAGACCGGCACTCCTTAATCCGGTTAGCAATTGTCGAATTCCCACTCTCATACATACTTCTTGCACTCTCAACCTCTTTAGGCAAAAGGGTCTTGAGTTCATCCTCCATAACTCCAATCTTTTGGAAGATTGAAGTGCTCACATTCTTCTCACTGTCGCTGTTTTTCAGCGCGTGCTCAACCAGGACTTGCCTTAGTTTTTGCATCAATGGGTAGGTGGCACTGCAGGGGTCATCAATGTATGCAAACACATGCTCTCTGTCCACCACTCTAAGCAAATCCTTCTCACAAAACCTTGACGGATGAAGCTCTCCATTGACACCCATGGTTAGAGTCTTCTTTGCGACTTGGCTGACCGTGTTCTTGACAGTGTTCCTCAAATTCTCCTCCAAGTGCCTCAAATCTATGGCCTGGCAAAGTGCAACTAGATAAGTGGATGACATGAGCTTCAAGATATCAACAGCTTCAGCTGTTTTTCTTGAGGAGATCAAGCCCAGAGAGTTCACATCTTGGTTGTGTTGCTCAGCACTTTGGACATGGTTAGTGACTGGATTAGCAAGAAATTGGAGTTCTGAACAGTACGAGGCCATAGCAATCTCAGATCCCTTGAACCCATAGTCCAAGCTCGGATTTCGCCCACCAGAGAGATTTGATGGCAGCCCATTGTTGTAAAAGTCATTAACAAGCTCGGAAAATTGTGCAAACATCAACTTTCCTATGGCTGCAATAGCCAAACGAGTGTTGTCCATCGACACTCCAATTGGGGTACCTTGGAAATTGCCACCATGTAAGGCCTTGTTCCTCGAAACATCGATCAAGGGGTTATCGTTGACAGAGTTTATCTCTCTTTCAATGGACTTGGTCGATGATCGGATGACTTCAATCTGAGGGCCGAGCCATTGGGGAGATGTTCGTAGAGCATACCGGTCTTGCTTTGGCTTCTGCAGGGGATCCATTTCGTGCAACTTTTGTGCAGCCTTAACATAAGAGCTTCCATCCAAAATGTGTTCCATAATAGCTGCAGCCTCAATTTGGCCTGGATGGTGCTTCAGTTTGTGTGTCAAATGGTCAGTGAATTCGGGCTTCCCCTGCATTACTTCAGCGAAAATGGCTGACATAATTTCGGACAACACTGCTAGAACGTTGGCCTCGAAAAGGACCATTGAGGCCAAGCCAGAACCAACAGCCGTGCCATTCACAAGTGCAAGGCCTTCCTTAGGCTGCAACTCAAAGAAACCGCCATCAACCCCAGCAAGGCGAAAGGCCTCCTCGGCATTGAGGGTTTCTCCGGTTGGTCCAACCGCCTTGGAATTAGGCCGGCCGGTGAGTAGTCCGGCAATGTAGGACAGGGGGACCAGGTCACCTGAGGCGGTGATCGTGCCGCGTAAAGGCAAGCATGGAGTGATGTTGTGGTTGAGGAACTTGGTGATTGCTTCCAGGATTTCAAATCTGATGCCAGAGTATCCTTGGAGCAGAGTGTTGATCCTAACAAGCATAGCTGCTCTTGTTGCTGAGTGTGGAAGTGTGTGGCATGACTCTGTTCCATTGCCAAATATACCAGCATTCAGAAACCTGCCATCAAAATAATATATTCCATACGAAACATTAGTTATAATTTTCACTCTTCTGTATCGTCAAAATAATTTCATAATGAAAAAATTAAAAAATAAATAAAAAATATTATATAGACTAAATAAAGACGCTAATCAAACCCATAGAGTACTCTGTGGGCCCCACCATAATGATGGGACCAAATATACTTATGTGATTTGTCGGAATAAATAGCATGACTCTAACTTTTAAATACTAAAAACAAATTATTTTATTTACCATCATCTCATGTGACTGTTTTAAAAATAACATAAATCCATACATCTTCTAAATAAGGTAAGTACCTTAAAACGACTGGATTATTAGTACCATATTTACCAATTACCATCTCATGTCCACTGTTACACCTACGTGAATTTATTGGTCATGTCACGGTTGGTAAACACCCAACACAACACGTATAATTTTATTCTATATATGTAAATAGCATATATATATATATATAAGAATGAAAATTGTTACAACGTTAGCAAGAGTTGTTTACCTAATAAGCTCCTTTTGTAGAGCCCCGCCATTTTTGGTCCTCCTATGGGACGTGGCACCAAACCCAGTAGTGACACCATAGCTATCAGTCCCTTTGTTCATGCTGTCCATCACCCAGTCACTGCTGGCCTTCACTCCGGCCCTCGCCGACTCCGACAGCACCACCTCAACCCCGCTGTCACGGCTGGAAATGGCTGCCACCTGCGATATCGTCAGTGTCTCGCCGCCCAGTCGCACCACCGGCTTCCGGTACTCCACCACCATGCGCTTCACCTCATCCAAGTGACTACCCTTCATGGACTCAGCCGCCACTCCCCAATTCAATGGATCATTCAAACAAATACCCGAAACGACAGCATTTACATTCTCAACATTTTCCATTATAGCTATGAAAGTTGTAAAAATAATGGGTATGTGACTATATATATATGGTAGCAAAAATATTTATAACTCAGACAAGATTCAGAGTGTAGAGAGAGAAAGAGGGTAGAGAGAGGAAATAATGGCTGGTATGGTGTTTGCCTATTGATTTCCTGAGTGGTGGTAAGTGAGGCATGTGGTTTAAATAGAGGGGGGGTTGAGTGCGTACATGGACATCAAGAGAGGTTGTGGTAGGTAGGCGAAAGGGGGGGTTGGGGGATGACGGCACAAGGCCTAAAATGGGGGTTTGTTGAGAAACGCTGAGGGCCGTTGATGATGTAGAAATCTGACGGTTGAGAAAGTGCCACGTGGGGCTGTGGCATGGAGGAACATACACGGTATTTTACTTGTCAAGAGATGGAAGAGGATGGTTGGTGGGGTTAGAGAAAGATCAAAAATATTATTCCTTTAAATTAATGGGAGGATGCAAGGTCCAACATCACCCACAAAAAACAAAAAAGGAAAAAAGAAAAAAAAAGACACACACACAGAGTGGAGAGGATTCGTGTCCTAAGGTGAGAAATGAGAATAAATATTTCAAGTTAATTGACAATAAATATTAGGTCAACTTTTAATAGTCTTTCACCTCACACAATGCATAGATATGACAATATAAGACTTTAAAAGATTTTCCATTTAAAGAGCTATTCAAATCTATGCTGAAATTTTAGAGTGCATGGGGTTGTTAAGTTTGCATAAGGGTTTCCTTCTAAATTAAAATATGACCCTATCATTCAATTTTATACTGAAAATTTAGACTACATGAGGTAGGTAGGTTGGTATAGGGTTCATCTAACTTAATGTGACCATATTATTCAATTATTAGGAGTGTGAAATTCGATTTTTTGGTATCCCAAATAATTAGTCTTACAATTAAAGAGAAAGAAAGACCTTTCGTCACAAAAATATATATATATATATATATAGGATTTATAGAATAACTCTTGATGCAAAGGTGTCCCCAATTGTAAACTAGAAAAAAGAAGGTCAAATTATTTGAAAAATAAAAAATAAAAAAATACGGCAATTTGAAGATGATGTGTATGAAACAAATGGTTGCGTTAAGAGTAATGAGTTTGGAGAAGTCAGGAAAATGTCAACCGAGTATAACAATAAAGCCACCAAATTCCGCAGGCCGCCCAACTCAAGATTTGAGTCAATATAGGCAACCCTATTAGAGACCTATTCAGTCAATGCCTAATTGCCTGTACATTACCATTACGTAGTATTATTTTATTCTTCCTCATCATATATATATATATATATATATTGGTAATCACTTGAAAACTTTGATTATTATTTTGTCAGGAGTCTCGCTCTGATTAATTTACAAAATTTGTGTAAGGTTCTCCTTGTACAGATCGGGTAAAATTAAGACTATATTAACGAACGTAACCTCTAAAAAATTATTTGTACTTAGAAAAAATTGAATATGAGACCTAATATTTTAAGTGGAAACAAAACTTAAGTCTTTTTTAATTAGACTAATCCTTAAAAATTATTTGCCACTACATAAACAGTTTTTGAACTCCAGGGGAGATAAGTCCATGTATGATTTATTTCTATAATACATACATACTCAGTTTATTAAGTTAGACAATTATATTTTTTTTTCTTGGCAAGGTACGTAGGAAATAAAAACTGATTTTGTATGTTTATATATATATATATATATATATATAACAAATTAACAAGGTGAGGACAAAAGAAAGACAAAAGTTTTGAAGACGCTAATGAAGGGAAGCTCTCACTAGGAAAATTCCGGCAGACCACTTTTTCAAAATTTCTTGGTGTCAGTTGCCGATAACCACGTGATTAGATTGTACGACCTGCCATGTCTTGGTAGGTAAGGTTGTCATTCCATGTCAAAAAAATAATAAAAATAAATAAATCAGACTATTTTGTCAATTTCCAATTAATTCCATTTTATCCGAACTTTTTTTTTTTTTTTAATTGTCCAAAGATATTTACAATGATAGTTATTGATAAAACCTAAATATTAAAATTATCGATGAAAACCATTGTGTTATACTTTCATGCATGATATTAGTTCCTAGTTACTCAAAACAAAAAGAAAAAGGGAAAAAAGAAAGAAAAAAAGAAAAGAAAAAAAAAACAAGTAGTAGGTTTTGTCAATTTCTTTCATATTTTCATGCCTTGCTTTAATTAGGCATTTAATTTACAATTAGTAGAAATGAAAATAAGGAAAACATTTTACATTCACCTCAAAATTTATACATATAGTTGATGACAAGATGTACAATTCATCAAGTCATCATGACCAATAAAAATTAAATGCCAGAAAATGATTGGATTACTTCAAAATTAATGTCAAAATAATATTCATTTGACTTAAATTATTATGAGTAGAACGAGTGATCGGGACATAGGTGATGAAGTGGAGATCATTGACATCTTATTTATCATTTAAAGACGATTGTAGGTGCAAAATTTCGCTCAATCAATAATGACTGAGAAAAATAAAATAACTCACTCAAAAATAATAAAAATAAATAAGAATAATGTGTAGAGAAGTGTGGAATTGCTTAATCCTTTATTAGAGGTCTTAGCCTCTATTTATATACAAAAGATTGCAAAATTATGGTAGGACTCGCGTTGCTTGCCCTCCAATTCTTTCTATATAACCATTCTTTTCTAATAGAGTTCTTTTCATTGTTGAATTTTCCATACATAGAACTTGCCTTGTACAGAACTTCCTATCCGAATTTTCCTTCTACGGTAAATTCTTCAAATGGTAGGATTTGTGCATTCTTGGGCTGAATATATTTTGATCCGGCTGGGCTTGGGTAACAGGCCGGATGTTAAATACTCATATCTGGGCTGACGACAAGCTGGGCTGATGGCTTCTTGATTCGGCCTTGATGGAATGGTCTTGGGCTGTAAATACCCTCAACTTGGGCTTGAGCATGATGGGCCTTATATGTCCTTGGCCTGTAGATATAGGTAGTGGTGACGTGTGCGTTTTTTATTGGAGGGAGTTTTTTCCCTCCACACTTTGCCCCAAATTCCCTTTTTAATTGAGTGACGGCTCCTATTAAAGAGGGAATTGAAACCGGTTTTCACTTTGCTTCAGAAACGGTTCGTGGCCTTTCGTTATTACTTCCGTCGCACAAGATTTTGCAAGAGTTGCATTTGCCCTTGCTGCACTTCTGCGTCCTTCATTTCATCGCTTCATTCGCTTTGTCAGGTTAGTCTCGCATCTTTCTCTTCAATCTTTCATTATGAGTACTTCATCTACTCCCGAACGTGTAGACCTTGGGGATTCTGAATCCACACCTTCATCTTCCCCCTTCGCATTAGGGCTCCCCCTCCTAGGGTTTCTACAGATCGCCCTTCGTTGAATCCATCAGGTACTTCCCCTCTTCCAACCGAAACATCCACCTCAGGCTCTGATTACGTTCTTACCCATGAAGAGAAGAAAGCAATCATCTCTATTCGCCACATCAAATTCTCTATTGCTTCGGTAATGGAAGAATTTGATGTTCCTGAAGGAGTAGACATTGCATAATATCCCGAGGGTGCAGATTTCACCTCCGGCGAGGGAATTGAGGAGGATGAGTTGCTTCTTTCTGTAGGGCACCTTAACGCCCTCCGATTCCCTCTTCATCCCTTCTATCATTTAGTTTTCAATAAGCTAGGTCTTGCCCCCCTTCAAGTAAATCCCAATTTCTTTCGCATCCTTTCGGCGTTGTTGGTGCGCCGGAAATTAGAGGCTTTGGATTTGACCCTTGCCAACCTTCTGCTTACTTACAATATATCTAAGCATGGGACCGAGTCTGGTCGCTTCTTTTTTACCTCTCCCCTTCATCAAAGGATATGCACGAACCTTCCTTCATCTGAAAAGAAATGGAAAGAAAGGATAGTTGTAGTTAAAGGGAAATGGTTCGTGTCCCAATCAATTGCGCTTCCCATTCCGCGCAAATTCGGGAAATTAGGTATAGAATATTTAACCTCCCTTCATACCAAGTGTTCTGGCTGTTTTCCTTGCCAAGTCTTAATATTTCGCCGTATTTATGAATTTCTTGGTATTTTTTCAGCTACATTCCCGGCCTCCGCAGCAAGGAACAGACTTTCTTTTCTTGAGGAACGAGTCTGGAGTAACCCCTCGCCTATCGAGGACCTGCTAACTTCCTCCAACCTCAAGGACATTGCTTCCAGTGCCGTTGCTGCAGACCTCATGGACCTGGCTTTACCATCCTTTGACAGTTTCCCTATGACCGAGGAAGAGATACGGCGGGCTGAGGCTTTAAAAAAGAAAGCCAGAGATGCCCAACCCTTGGTCGTCATTGGATCAACTGAGGATGAGGTGGAGGTTGAGGAACCACCATTGAAAAAATCCCGCCTCAACCCCTCCTCCTCTGGCAAGGGCAAAGTCCCCTCTAAAAGCAGAGGGAAAAAAGCTGGGGAGGCTGAACCTGAAGATGAAGTCAGGGCCTTTGTTCTTGCTGAGACTGGAGCTCCTTGGACTCCTTCCTTCACCAGGGCTGACAGGTCAGTCCTACACTCAGGGGATTCTGTGGTTACAGGCCCTTCAGCTGCACTGGCGGTGGCTCGAGGAATGTGGCTCCCAAAGGACGAGGAAGCCATCAGCCAAATGGGGTTGGAGCAACTACTCCCCTCTGCCCCAGTCCGGGCCATAGAGGTTCGCATTGCACCTTCAGAATTATGCTACCCTTGCCTGCTTGTGTTTCTATTTATGCTTATATTTGCTTCCCTGTTAAACAGAGTCTATACCACACCATGGCCCTCTGTGCCACTGCTGAAGCTCAATCCCTCTCCATCAAGAAGTTGGAAAAGGATCTTGACAATGCAGAGAAGAGAGCCACTACTGCCTCTACCAATCTGAAGATAGCTTCTGAAGCCAAGGATGCGTATAAGAGGCAGTTGTCAGCCTCTGAGGCTAAGGTGGATTCTCTTCAGGCCGAGGTTCAACGCTTGACCGAGGCTCTTACTACTTGCTTCAAGGCGGGGAAGCAAATGCAGGGGCGCTACTCCTGTCTGGCGTACCTGGCTAGTGCTAAGGTGTTCCGGTCTGGCTATAATCAAGGCTCAGGCCCTAAGACGATGGATCCGGACGCCTTTGACAAGCAGGTGGGGGTGCACTTCCCATATGATGAAGGGCCAGAGGC